AGTAGCTACTTCTACCTACTTTTACCTGTCTTTGAAAAGAAAAGAAAATAATATTTAAAACAGGTCAAATCTTGTGCACTTGCACAGCAAAATTCATGGTGTTAATTTGAAAACTACGAGAGTGGAGAATGGAGAGGAAATGCATGAAAAATCATCCCAAACACATTTTATCTAAGAATACAAGAAGATAAATTTTAAAATAGATACAGATTTGTAAGGCATTTTAGACTTAGTTTTGATCCTTAGCTACCAGAAAATGAAACTGGATGCAGTTTTGATGCAAAATTGATAAGTTATAAAGTAATAATTTTTTGGCCAATATTTTTATCGTATTCATCGTCAGTGTGACTGTATTAAAATATTTGTTACTCACTATATTGCGCCGTTCCAGCGTTTGGCCACGAAATGTAAATAAAGCAAAAAGTAGATAAAATGGCTATCTGGAGTTGGTTTAAATACCTAGGTAGCTATAAGTAACTACGTAGGTAGGTAGAAATAGTCTTTGGGCTGGACCTGAATAAGTATTTAGAGCAAGTTTCTAATTATATATATATATATATATATATATATATATATATATATATATATATATATATATATATATATATATGTGTGTGTGTGTGTGTGGGTGGGTGGGTGTGAGGATGTGTGTGTGTGTAAATTTCCGACAAACAAAACTTTTTAAGTGGAAAAATTCTCTCCTCAAAATTTATTTTTATGGTAAAGAAAAATTAAGAATATCTTGGGATTTGAACCCAAGTGATGAAAATTCTGGGTATTGAATGTAATTGTTTGTCTTAGAGACTGACACTCTAACCATTACACCACACAGCTCATACATGTAACAGCGGCATTTAAATCATGTTTGTGACAAGATCCTTGAATTACTGCTATATGCGGTATATGCATAATTTTGCCCCATAAATGTCAAATTTTGAAAATTTCTTGAAATGACCTGAATTGTATACATGTATATTAAGTGAAAAATCTGAATTAACAAAAAATATCATAGTTTCGAAGTAGGTTATTGGCAATTTTTGTTTCTATGACGTCACAAACTTTTCATTTTGCGTTATTTTTCAATTTTTACTATATAATTTATAGAGCGCAAACTTGCTCCAGAACAATATTCACATATTTCATTGATATTTGCATTCTACCAAAATATAGAGTTGGAGCAGACCTGAGCTCGTTGACTTTTACTCAAAATATCGACGTAATGTACATCTTTTTCTCTATAAATCATGGAAATTTTGAATTTACGTCATTTCCTGACGTCATTTTTGACATATGGCTGAAAAAAATATTTAATGCGTTCAAGTCTGCAGATATCCCCCTAGTTCAGAAAATAATTATAGATTTCTTTGACAAAGTTTGATTTTGGGGGCAAATATTGGTCATTACTGAATATAGTCCTTTTGTGTGTCATAAAATAGAACAAGAGGCCCAAGGGCCTTAACGGTCACCTGAGTATAATACAACAATTTAGAGGATCCATAGAGTATAAAATAAACTGAAAGGTGAAGCTTTATTGCCCAAAAGCAAGAAAAATAGGGTGATCAGGATCAACAAAATAATTAGTCTAGTATTCATTAACAGTTCATAAATTTGGTTCTAATCTGTTACCCATTTATCACTATTACCATACAGTATATTAACAAACTATCAGTGCTTCTGTACTACTTTAATTCCTTGTTGAAATCTCTTACATTGGCCTCACTTGGTCTTTGATAAACATTTAATAAGTCAAGTTATTTTTGTCTCATTTTTATTTATCTATTACTTACAAGTCTATCTGATCATTAAAACTATGAAAGTACTTTTTGTATTATAAAACAAAAATTCTTGCATAATTCTCTTAGTTTATTAACCTTTCAAGTACATTATCTACAGTGATTAATTATCAAAAGTAAATGGCAAAGGGGAATAACTCCTCTCAGTAGAATACAAATTAATAGAGCCCTGGTCAGGACCAGAACACTTGACCAAATGGTCCAGATGTTCAAAAATCTGGTAAAATTACCCTTCCTTATTTTAAAAAAAACTTTTACTCTTTTTGCCTCACATATACCCAGGTGCAGAGAATATTTTCAAAGAAATAATGCATTTTTACTACAGATTCACTATATTATCAATAGAGCCCCCCCCCCCCCCTTCCCCATCGAGAAACACCAGAGCCTCTCACCCTGGGACCAGAAGTTATCTCATCATAAGTTATCACTTTGTTTATCTGCTTAACACTATTAAGGAGCAGACATGATTATTTAATAGAATTAATGCGTTTTCACTATATTATCAAGAGCCCCATCCTTACACCAGCAAATCTGACCCAGGGGTCATGCAATTCACTACTCTGGAAGAAACACTCTTGCTCATCATAACTATACACTTAATTCTTTGCTTTTTAACAAAAAGCAGAAAAGAATATTATCAAAGAAATTTTGCCTTTTCACTATAATAATCAATAGAGCCCCCCCCCCTTTTTTTCACCAGAACCCCTGTCCCTGGGGCCATGAATTTCACAATTTTGGAAGAGGCATACTTCCTTATCATAATAATATACTTAGTTTGTTTAAATAATACCCATGAGCAAAGAAGAAGATTTTTTAAAGCATTAATGCATTTTCACTATATAATAAATAGAGCCTGCCCTAACACCAGAACCCCTGATCCAGGGGCCATGAAATTTACAATTTTGGAAGAGGCATCCTTGCTTATCATAACTATGTATTTAATTTAATTTGTTTAAATAATACCAAAGAGAAGAGAAGAAGATTTTCAAAGAAATAATGCACTTTCTCTATATGATCATTATAGCCCCGCCCTAGCACCAGAACCCCTGACCCTGGGGCTATGAAATTCACAATTTTGGAAGAGACATCCTTGCTTATCATAACTATGTATTTAATTTGTTTAAATAATACCCAGGAGTAGAAAAGAAGATTTTCAAAGAAATAATGCACTTTCACTATGTGATCTATATAGCCCCGCCCTAGCACAAGAACCCCTGACCCTGGGGCTATGAATTTCACAATTTTGGTAGAGTCACTCTTGCTTATCATAACTATGTATTTAATTTGTTTAAATAATACTCAGGAGTAGAGAAGATTTTCAAAGAAATAATGCACTTTCACTATATGATCTATATAGCCCTGCCCTAGCACCAGAACCCTGACTTTGGGGCTATGAATTTCACAATTTTGGTAGAGTCACTCTTGCTTATCATAACTATGTATTTAATTTGTTTAAATAATACCCAGGAGTAGAGAAGAAGAATTTTAAAGAAATAATGCACTTTCACTATATGATCTATAAAGCCCCACCCTAGCACCAGAATCCCTGACCCTGGAGCTATGAAATTCACAATTTTGGAACAGACATCCTTGCTTATCATAATTATGTATTTAATTTGTTTAAATAATACCCAGGAGTAGAAAAGAAGATTTTCAAAGAAAGAATGCACTTTCACTATATGATCTTTATAGCCCCACCCTAGCACCAGAACCCCTGACCCTGGGGCCATGAATTTCACAATTTTGGTAGAGGGCTCAATGCTTATTACAATCATGCCAATAGTTTGAGTGCTTGATGTCCAGGAGTAAAGAAGATTTTTAAAGATTGCATTAATTTTGGTGGTTTTAGTCCCACCCCTTAGGCCCCAGGGGGGCAGGGACCATGAAATTCACAAATTTTGTTCACCTTCACACATAGATGCTATATGCTAAAATTGGCTGAAATTGGTTCAGCAGTTTCAGAGAAGAAGCTGAAAATGTTCAAATGTTCACACATGATGGACGACGACAGACAAAAACAGACAGCAATAGGTCACCTGAATGACTCAGGTGACCTAAAAATGTATTATAGTATGAAGAAATGATCATTTTTACCCTCTTTGCTGTTTGTGTGCTATTACATAGATGAATAATTTTAACACTTGTGAGATTGATGCAAATTGAGGAGATTTTACATAAAGAATACATTAATATTAACTGAAATATCGAAGAAAATTGTGTTACGAGATTTATTTTCACTTTCTTATTTGTTGAAGCATAGGCATTTTGCTCAGCTTGTTTGATCATCTTCTTTGGATAAAAATTGCTCTGTGGTTTCAGAAAAGGGGCTGAAAATGTTCTAAAGTTTAAACAAGACACAATTTTATCAAGCAATAAGCCACTTTACTGGGGTACCAAAAATAGGTGTGTTCCCGTTTTGCACACATTTGATAATTAGGTAGAGAACAATAGGTGTGAAATATGTTTTGATTGCAATTATAGTCTGATCTCCATCTGGGATTTACCTGGAATTACCTGTATTTTACCAATGCATTATAATATATATTTAAAAGAATAAATTTTGAAAATTTAACTTGTCCAACCCAAATGAAAATGAAGTTGATAATTTAGACAAAAATCCTTACATGTGTATCGCAGTTCCGCCTGTTTTTTTTTTTTTTTTTTTTTATTTCCTAAATATAAAATGAATGAGTAAAAGAATTCAATCTTGATTATAATAAATAGAGAGAGAGAGAGAGAGAGAATCATAGAATCATATGAATAAAATTTTAATTTTGACTAGTAATTTTTAATACTTTGATGTTTTTTTAATGGTTTAATATAGTTTTTTCATATTATGAAATTACAGAAATAAATCAAAATCTCAAATGCAAAATTAAATCATTTTTCTTTCTATTCTACCTGTAGATTCTCTTTCTCCAAATTCACAACTATGATATAGACTATAGCAATTAAGTAATTATCTTACCTGGACAAATTCCGGTTTTGCACACATTTTTTAAATACCTGAAATTCAAATGTGTGCAAAACGGGAACAAACCCAAAAATAACCTTGGTCTTTCAATTCAATCCGCATTTTGCAATTAAATAATTCTGTCAAATATAAAGACAAGCACTTTGCCTACAATATCTTTATGTTAGCTTCTTTTAGTTTCAAGATGCTTTTGACGACATACAGCATACAACATTAACAATGCCACAAGAATGTTTACCTTAACATTTATTGTAGAATAAAATGATATACATCCCTTTTTTAGCACCATTCAAAGTCTCTTAGAAATGCATGAGTGAATACATTCTTTAGAATATGACTTAGAAGCAAGTTTTGTAATCAGAAAACTGGTATGGACAATAAACAAATGACTTCATAACAGTGACTTACAAAAATGCATCTTTTATATCTATGACGTATGTCAGTGGTACTTTTAAAATCCTTATCATGAGACTGAATATCATATCTCAATAAATTACTATCTCAAACATACAGGTAAAAAGATAACACTTAAAGTACAGGTAAAAATGCATAACTTCAATTCATTAAATGTAGTAGGGGAGTTGAAGTTCTAGATTTTGTAAAATTGCTGCACAAACAATGCATACAGCAATAAAAAAAAGTTTTAGCAAAATATAGTGGCATAAATGATGAATAAAACCTCAGAAAATCTCATCTTTTTTAAGCTTAAGGCCCTCAAGTCATAATCAAGTCACCTTGGTAATAAATTTTGGCCCCCCTTTTATGGATGTACAGAAACCTTAAGTTTTCATCAACTGGTTTCTACACAATCGTGGTTTGAACATATTTTATTGTATAAATAGTACACAAATGGTTTGATCACAAGCTCTTACGAGGTTCTCACCATACAAAAATCAGATATTAATATTTCACGTTCCTCCTCTTTTCTAACCAGAGATTGTTGCAATACAGATAAACTACAAGGTTAAACTTTCGATTTGGGAGGACTTCATTGAACCTTTTTTTTATAAAATGTCTGGCAAAGGGGTGGCTAATAAACTCTGTTTGAGAACAGATTTTCCATACTTCTGGCTTGAATATAAAAATAAATTTTTACTTGTGTAACAAATAACAGGAATGTTAATTTACATTTGGTCCCAGTATTACAAGTAATTCAAAGAGCAAGAAATAAAACAGTGCTAATTCTCAAAGTTATATAGCCTTTAGTTTTAATATCTTGAAATGTGACTTATACCTGTTGCAAATGACCTATTTGTGGATTTAATCTAACTTTTCATGGAAAAAAAGTTCCTTCATTCTAAACATGTACATACTTTATCGACAGCAAAGCATTTGAAGGTTATTATCATCTGGCAATATAATAACCTAGTATACTAAAAAACTTTTCATAAACAAATGCAAAATTAAAAAAAAAATCAGATCTTCACTGTCATAAAAGCACTTGCACATGCGATTATTTAAACCACGATCCTTAGGAAATGTAAACACCGTCGGTTCTAACATTGAAAAAAGTAAAGCTACAGAGATATTATAATTACAATTCAAATCTTGTCCACACAGTTTGACAAAAGCCAGTGTATAGAAACACATAACTCTCCTCTGTGGTGGCAAATATAGCAAAAAAGTGAAGGAATAAAGTCAATAAAAAACATAAAGGAACGCTTTATTGCACTTAGAGTCAGCAAGCATATGATGCCGTGCACCTATTGTTGTGGCGTCAGGAGTAATTCCCCTTGTTAGCTTTCAGTGTAGAATTACTTCCCTTGGCCATAGAATTTCTTGTTGAGAAGGAAGATGAGCAGGTTAACATTAACCTTGGCATCATTAAATAGTTCTATGACAGCAACACCTTCATACTGCAGCTGTAACAAATCCTGAAATATATAAAAACATGTGTAGGTTTTGTCTTCATTGTCATCTATCAATATCATGTACATGTACATCCATTGTGTTTCTGCAAAAAAACCACAAAATTCTGTCATGATTTTGAGAGACAAAAACTGAATTCCTATTTTGACAATCTTAACAAGGCCACTACAAAGCAGAGCATCCCCTCACATTTCCCTAAGACCTGGGGGTCAGGAAATTTCCCCGCCTATAATAATGTAATCCCCCAGTTACTCTGGTGTTCTCCCTCATCATCCTGTTAAAGGAAGAACCCTAGACCCCCTTCTACTTTTTAAATGTCCCCTGCTATTTTAATTCTCAGGGACAACCCTACATCACAAGAGAACTTAAATCCCAAAATAAACTTCACTGAGAGGGGATAATAAACTTTCATGAATACAAAGTAACTCATGGATGCAGAGACAGGGTCTTTAGAAAATGGGTGCCTACCAGATTCCTCTGTATAATCTACAAGAGTAAATAATAAGTTTATATGACAGGGTTACCTGGAAGACTAGATCAATCTTTTTGACATCCATTCCCATGAACTTGGCCTGGACTTCAAACACCCCTGGATCAGCAGTTTCTTTGATCTCAAACTGAACATTCTTGAATCTACAAAATTAGAGGTAGTATGTTATTACCAACAGGAAGCTGATTACTTTATTATATCTGAATCTAATCCCTTTACTTGTATCTAGTTTAAATTCCATGGACAGATTGGGGAAAAAAAACGAAAAAAGCACCAACAACTCACCAGAACAAATAATTTGTATGACATAATTAATCTCTGCATTGCTTACTGATTAGTTGTGATGTATTTAATCTCTGTATTGCTTAACTATTACTTATGACAGATTTAAACCCTGCATTGCTTAATTAGTAGTTGTGAAGCATTTAATCTCTGCTTTGCTTACTGGTTAGTTATGATGTAATTAATCTCTGCATTGCTTACTGGTTAGTTATGATGTAATTAATCTCTGCATTGCTTACTAATTTATAGTTATATTGTAATTAATCTCTGCATTGCTTACTGATTAGTTATGATGTAATTAATCTCTGCATTGCTTACTGATTACTTATGACATAATTAAACTCTGCATTGCTTACTGATTAGTTGGTAGTGTTCCTATTTCTAAGATGACTCCTTTCTCATGAAGCCTAGCTGCACTGTATTTCAGGGATTCATAATGCACCTTCTTCTCGCCATCTCCTCTTCTGAATAATCCCTTTGACTTCCTATTGCTGAAGAACATTAGTTTTCACATTATAGGAGTAATCACTCAATCAATACCAGTAATTACAGTCTTAAATCTAGTCCAAACGATAATTTCTTACTTTCCCCTTTGTTGCAGATTTTCAATACATTTCTGGACATAGCGATTATAGTAGTCAATCTGGGATTCATAAAAGGCTCGCTTTGCCTGTAAACTTTTTACAGTTTCTCGAACTCTCATCAACTCATGTTTACGACTGTTTCTGTACCGTCTTTGATTTCGAATATCCTGTAAAACATCAAGCCAAAGTTTAGTATACTATTTACAGGACTAAGATCATCAAATTTTCCTTCATAAAAAGGTATAGAAATTTAATATTTTCTTATTTCCTGTAAAATATCCTGTAAAACATCAAGCCAAAGTTTAGTATACTATTTACAGGACTAAGATCATCAAATTTTCCTTCATAAAAAGGAATAGAAATTTAATATTTTCTTATTTTTGAATCTCTATATTTTACCAGGTTTTCCCATCCTTACTTTAAACCTCTGGAAGTTACCTGTGCAATCATATTAATCATATCCTGGTAACCGTTTGACAATAACCTGTACAATCATATTAACCATATCCTGGACAGGTAACCATTTGACACTTACCTGTGCAATCATATTAACCATATCCTGGTAACTGTTTGACACTTACCTGTGCAATCATATTAACCATATCCTGGTAACCGTTCTTCCTCGTTACCATCTCATTCAGCTCCAAGTTTTGTAAGTTTTTCTTGATTTTTGTTTTCATTATCCCAAGGGGCATTCTAGGAAGCAAGACACAATAAAGGATGGATTGCAAATTGTTAAGTTGATCATGATAAGTTGACATTTGTTGTCATAACCTGTGTACCAAACATTGTAACAAAAAGATATCATCATTCATTTTAGTTAAGACTGAAAATAAATGTCAACTGCAAAAATAATTTTATGCACTAATTTTATCATGTTTTCAAGTTTGGACATTTGAAATTTGATAAAAAAAAATTAAAAATATATGCTACAAACAAAAAAATTGGATGAATGGATTGGTATATCTTTGTGAAAAATTTTGGTTTACATCCGAAAACCCTTCAGTGTCAGTTTTTATTTGCTAACAAAATCTCTCAACTATTGGGGTATATTCTCAAACAATTTGTCTGACATGGGATTTCTTAAAACCTTGAATGAAAATTAAAACTTTATGCTGCTAAACTTACTTACTTTACTTATATAAACATAGATTTAGCTGATGTTTTCATAATTTTTAAAATGAATTTGTTTGTATTGTCTGTCCTTAATTGGACACAACAATAGCTTGATTCCTTTTTTTTTTTTCATACATAGCTTTTTTCCCAGGAGGTTTAAAAAGTCTAAATATGGCCTCGCCCACCCAGGGCTCTTAAGATCTTCAAAAATATAGTAAGTCATCACTGACAAAGCTAGCTTTCTAGTGTCTTTTGGCTCTGTTATCCCCCTCCCCCCTTTGAATCCATCTTCTTTTCTTACCTTGTGTCTCCTGACATACTTTGTTGCCTCATAAGTCCACCCTCACTGTCAATTTTAGCTTTTTGATCTCGCTCATCTCTCTTTTTGACCAGTGCTTGATGCATTTCCTCCTACATATATGATATTGAAAGGAAATTTTAAATGACTAATAACAGGTTTATGATGTTTTCATGCAAATGTCCTATGCCAATAAAGTGCACCACCATGGCATGTGATACGCCTGTCAAATATTGCTCAATTATCATAAACAATTTAGAGCTGAGTGCAATGAAAAAGGTCAAGTCAACGTTTGTACAAAGATTTCAATCATTTCTAATGCTTGATGTGCATCTCCTTTGGTGTAGTTATTAGAACAAACATCATATATTTCTACAGGTGGTTGTGTTTAAGAGTTTTACAAATGTCCATCTGCAGCTTTATTCATTGTATTTCTTATGAATGATAAACAATGCTACAGCCTAATGAAACATCAAAACACTAATCACTATGTTTATTCTTAGACTGTAAAACTGTCATCTTAGCCAGACATGACATTCTGCAATTTTTTGTTGAGATATAAAAATTAAAAGAAAAATATTACATTATACAATATCAAATTAGTTTTAATAACTTAATTTTCACTAATTTATTTTGAAAGTAATGGCTAGCCAACAAGAACTATTTAAATTTGACAGATACTATCAATTGCAATTAAGAGGACAGATTCCCCTACCCATTCTTAAGAGATATCAGGGTTTGAAATTCACAGTTTCCCACTTGCCATTTGCAACTAATTTTTCGTGTGGCCAACTATTTACCTTACAGTGACCTTTAAGTAGGATAAGACACACCTTTTACCTAAGATGCATTACCAAGTTTGATGATTCTTATAGTTTTCCAGTTATGAGCCAGACAGGATTTTGCCATATCATCTTAATCAAAGGTCACAGCAACCTACTTTTAATGTGTGACTCACCTTCTACCCAAAATGTACCAACGGACAAAGTTTGATTACTCTAGGCCTCAAAGTATTTAAGGTATGAGCAGGGCAAGAAAAAGCTAACATAAAGACAGATGGACAGACAGACAGACATGAACACCATACCATAATACATCCTTGAGTATGAAAACTAATAAATTTCCTCTCTTCTTTTAAGTAATAAGCTAGACAAAATAATACAGAACAAGAGATGTTTGTGAAACACTTATGCCCACCCCCATATAATTGGAATTTTTCTAAGTCCAAGGGGCATAACTCTGTCAAAAATTACTCGATCGTACCCTATACACAACTTGACTTAGATATTCTCATGATAAATCTGTATACCAAATTTCATTTCAGTATGTCAAACCTCTACGAAGAAAATGAACGGAAACTGCAAATAATTGGAATTTTTCTAAGTCCAAGGGGCATAACTCTGTCAAAAATTGCTTGATCCTACCCAAAACAGAACTTGACCTAGATACTCTTATGATAGATCTGTATACCAAATTTCATTTCAGTATATGCAACCCCTGCAATGAAAATAAACGGAAACTGTTGGTGGACCGACAGACAGCAGCAAAGCAATGCCCTCCTTTCTTGGAAGGGGGGCATAAATATCTAAATTGAATCTCTGAGATCCTTTCTAATAATTCATTCCAAATTTTCTCTGACCTGTTCCTCAGTGGCGGGTGTGTCTAGGATCTGTACGAGCGTGTCCCCCGTCTGGCAAGCTACAACATCCACCACAAGCCTCTTTGTCCTATTGAGTATACATAATTTATATATATATGGCTACTGTGAAAAGATAAGAATAAAGTAGAAGAAAATTAAGAAAACTTCACATCAGAGACAAATGTCACATATTTTAGGAATTTTCTTGCTTAATAAAATGAAATGTTTTCATAAAGATGACAATTCTCTGACAAAAGACGGAGATTAAAATGAAATTCAAGCAAATCAAATAACATGTGGTTTAAACTGATATAAATCATTGTATAATGATTTTTCCATCTGGGGGTGATCCCCGTTATTAATCCTCCATTACCAGTGTGTTTATGACTTTGTATGAGCTATATCTATAATAAGGCCGTTATTAATCCTCCATTACCAGTGTGTTTATGACCTTGTATGAGCTATATCTATAATAAGGCCGTTATTAATCCTCCATTACCAGTGTGTTTATGACCTTGTATGAGCTATATCTATAATAAGGCCATTATGAATCCTCCATTACCAGTGTGTTTATGACCTTGTATGAGCTATATCTATAATAAGGCCGTTATTAATCCTCCATTACCAGTGTGTTTATGACCTTGTATGAGCTATATCTATAATAAGGCCGTTATTAATCCTCCATTTCCAGTGTGTTTATGACCTTGTATGAGCTACATCTATAATAAGGCCGTTATTAATCCTCCATTACCAGTGTGTTTATGACCTTGTATGAGCTATATCTATAATAAGGCCGTTATTAATCCTCCATTTCCAGTGTGTTTATGACCTTGTATGAGCTATATCTATAATAAGGCCATTATGAATCCTCCATTACCAGTGTGTTTATGACCTTGTATGAGCTATATCTATAATAAGACACCTGACAAGGAGTTGTTTAACATCTGCCTGGTCATCCTCTGGAACCTCAAACTTGTTACTCAGTGTCAGAGAGATCTCAGTCTTCCCTAACTGAGTCTGTAACATCTTCCTCATGTCCTCGTCCTCCGGAAGGTCCGTACCTATACAACAGAAGGGAGGAGACATTCTGTAAGCAAACTAGTGAAATCAACCAATAATATATCTCATACAAAGACTCTCATCATCACTATTCAACCACAAATAAAAATTAAAATAAACAGGACTGGCTAATACAGGAAAAATAAATATAATATACAAAACCTCATCTATTCCAGTAAAATTCTGAACTCCCCCAGAGGCACTTACCAAGAAGTTCATCCACAGTCGGGGCTTCTTTGAGATCCTCCAGAAGTTCATGAATCGGGTCCTGAGAGTCAGGGGCAATCTGGTCCTCGTGCTGAAGGAGAAGCTGTAAGAAAACATGATACACAGTGAAGATCTTCAAATAAACATGTTACACAGTGAACATCTGTTTTCAAGGAAACAAATATATATCTTTTTTTCCAACATTATGTTTAACACAAATTATTTTTGAAAGGCTTTACCTTTCCTAGTAAATCCTTAGTAACATACATACATTCAAATGATTCAAAAAACCTCCCTTCAAAACCTGTTCAATGCATTTAAATTTCAATTTGTACTGCAATGCATCTTCTAAAGTCTCAGTTTCTGATCCACTCTACATAAATCAACCCTTGACTTGGGAAGAGGACTGATGTGCAGTACAGAACCAATTATATGGGCCACATCGCTCACCTGAGCACATTGGCTAGGCAAAAGCACAAATCAGTTCAGTATTGAAAAGATTACCGGGGGGGGGGGGGGGGGGGGGGGGGAATCTACACTACCTGAGGATAATTCCATATAAATATAACTCATCATGGCTTTGCTGTTCTTGAGAAGAAGATTTTTAAAGATTTTTCCTATATATTTCTATGTAAAACTTTGATCCTTCATTGTGGCCCTGCCCTACCCCTGGGGGTCATGATTTGAACAAACTTGAATCTACACTATCTGAGGATGCTTCCATATAAATATGACTCATCATGGCTTTGTTGTTCTTGAGAAGAAGATTTTCTTGAGAAGAAGATTTTTAAAGCTTTTTCCTATATATTTCTATGTAAAACTTTGATCCTCCATTGTGGCCCCGCCCTACCCATGGGGGTCATGATTTGAACAAACTTGAATCTACACTACCTGAGGATAATTCCATATAAATATAACTCATCTTGGCTTTGCTGTTCTTGAGAAGAAGATTTTTAAAGATTTTTCCTATATATTTCTATGTAAAACTTTGATCCTCCATTGTGGCCCCGCCCTACCCATGGGGGTCATGATTGGAACAAACTTGAATCTACACTACCTGAGGATGCTTCCATATAAATATGACTCATCATGACTTTGCTATTCTTGAAAAGAAGATTTTTAAAGGTTTTTCCTGTATATTTCTATGTAAAATTTTGATTCTCCATTGTAGCCCCGCCCTAACCCCTGGGGTCATGATTTGAACAAACTTGAATGTACACTACCTGAGGATGCTTCCACATGAGTTTCATCTTTCCTGACCCTGCGGTTCTTGAGAAGAAGATTTTTAAAAGATGCTATTAATTTTTCACTAATTCTTTATTATCTCCCCTTGAAAGAGGGCATGGCCCTTCATTTGAACAAACTTGAATCCCCTTCACCCAAGGATGCTCTGTGGCAAGTTTGGTTGAAATTGGCCCAGTGTTCTGGAGAAGAAGTCGAAAATGTGAAAAGTTTACAGACAGACGGACGGACAGACGGACTACAGACAAAATGTGATCAGAAAAGCTCACTTGAGCTTTCAGCTCAGGTGAGCTAAAAACTATATTCCCCATTTACCTTATGAAAATGTCATGAAAAAATTGCACAAAATGACCCCCACCCCATTTTTTGTCATAAACTGGTCCAGTGCTCAGAACATTTATGAATACATTTTTGGCAACCACTGAGTTCATAGCATGGAAGGGGGATAACTTTCATAACAAATCTGTAAACTGATGCTGCATGCTGTGTTAAATCCTCATCTGGAACATAAAAAATCCTCCCCTAGCCAAACTCAAACTTCACTGACGAGTACCCTTGTTAAAGAGTGTACAGTGTATACATCCCCAGTTTTTAGGACAGAAAGAAATTTCTTCAAGAGAAATCCTTGTCCTCAGCAATTTTTCTTTCCTTTTGGACCAATCTAACTGATGCTTTATCTTATGAGTGCCCTTCTGTAATGAGTTTGCAGTGATCTTGAACCTCTTTTCTAGGTCAGAGTGTAAATGTGTTGAAATCCTTGTTAGGAGAATATATCATCTGCCCTTGGACCTATTTTGCTCATACTCCAGTGACTTTGAAGTCAAAAGTCAAGGTCAAATCAAGTCTGCGTAAAATTCTTGTCCAAAACATATTTCTCATCCCTTTGTCCAATGTGGCTTATGCTTGACCTAAAGTGTCCCTTGGTTAAGAATGCAGTAACCTTGAGTCAAGTTTTAAGATCTGGGGTTAAGTTTGAAGCAGACCTTGCCTAAAGTACGAAATTTCTGCCCATTGGAAAGTTTGGCTGACAACAAAACCACAGCATTCCTTGGTTTAAGAGTAAGCAGTTTTGAACAAAATCAAAGGTCAGATTAACAAGATCTTGTGTAAACTTCATGGAGGGAGTGATTACTTCAAGCTACATGAATTAAATAGCCATTCACTCAATAAATTAAAATTAAACTTAGGGAAACTATCACACACAGAAGTTGGTACTGACTATTCCCAGCCTTACCTGATGTGTGTCAATGATTTCTTGTACAGAGATGTAAATAGATGGTTTGGCGATCGTAACTATGTCTGAATACTGGTCCACATTGAAGTAATGCTCCGGTTCTGGAACATCGCACGCCTCTACACAGTATCTCCTATTAAAAAAAACATAGTGGAATTTTTTACAGGATGAAACCTAGTCTGTACATCTCTACATTTTTGCATATAATTTTATTAAGGTATTTTTCGTCTAATATGACTTAATTTCCTAACCTTAAATATCCATCATATATTTAATCCTCTGACATTAATTTAAAGCAATTAAAAATAGAAAAGGATATATAAGAGAAATTTTTAAAAATGTAATTACCTAAGCAGTAATTAATCATCAAAGATTGCATTGTGGTCTACGAGGACAGGCAAATTTTTCAAAATAAAAATCTAAATACTACGAATACATAGAAAGGCTGCGGAGGAAAGATGTATTTACACATAATAATTGGGTTAAGAAGAACAACTGAAAGGAATTTTTACCAGATAGATTTTTTTTCATTAATTCATTAAAATCAGAAGAAGATATCTTTTCAAGGACAGGTGAAGGTCATGAATTAGGACACACGCAGTACAGTTAAGGTGCCAAATGGAAATATCGGCGAATTTTTTAGATAGAAAATACATACTTTACATGGATGGGTGATTCTTTTCAGGACTTTACTATTATTGGACAAATGTAATGTGGTTGAAAATTACATGTTGAGGATGATTAGATTTCTTATTTAGGTTTGTCATGTGATGTGGCCATCACGTGATTTTAGCAAATATATCTGCAGTATTGAGGTCATCCATAAATTCCAATACTGCAAGGGCATAACCAAGTTAAAAATCTAAGCTTAATTTATAATTATTTTCAACACTCTTTGTAGTTTATAAAAAGTGCTGCGAACCTATATAGATTCTACTATCTAACTGCTAAAATTACATTTGTTAGACCGCATAATTCCTTGAGGGTATGCCCTTGCAATATATTGATTTATTATGACCCTTCTATTACCCTTCAATGAATCTGCATACAAATATACAGCAGTATCGCTTGTCTAGGGAATGTACGGGAAGTATATGAATAAAATCATAAAAAAGACATCGCATCCAAGTTAATGGCCTTTTTTATATCTGCAAATAATATTTTATTTAATTACAAAATACATTTTTCGTTGTATAAAATATAACTTGATCCGCCTCTCACTGCATACAAACTGTGTCAAATTTTCCGATATGACATCACATTGCGATCAGTGAATTGTTAATATAATGCTGTGAGGGATTTAACCAATGACAAAAATACATGCAATAGTAAGTATTGATGTAGTTTAAAGCTATCCAACAGTTTAAAATAGCAAATCATTTCATTTTGTGGTTATTTGAAGAACTTGTATTTTTGTGTGATGTCATAGTAAGCATTTCCCGTATAAATTAGGCCCCGCCTCCTTATTGTAGCCTTAACTGTGCTGCGCATTCTACTCATATAATGTCAATAAATGGGAATTAAGTCTTAACATATTGAGTATTTAACCACTGCACATCTGTTATGTATTCAGTTTCATTGAATTTGAGACTATTAGGGATGGAATACCATAAGTTACATGTAACACTAAATATTAGCAATAAAACTGATAATGTATAAATGACAAGGCTCAATTAGGTATGTTGAATATGAGTTATAACAATTGTATAAACAAGGTATGACAAACCATAAACATTTACAATTAGGCTTCAATAAAGTCTTAGGATCAACGCTCTGCAACTTTGAGGTGATGAAAAGTTAACAATGATAATTAAGTAGTACTCTGTATGCAGAGTTGCCATTAGTATAAAATACTTGAGTTTTTTGAATATCAAACTATCTACATGCCATAATGATTATTTTCTATATAAATGAACAAACATAAGCCATCCTTTGACTTGAATAAAAAGTTATGAGGTCACTTTAAGCATTCCATGGCCTGAGTTTTCTGGACTTACTTGAATTTCTCGTGAGCTTGTCGAATATAGTCATTCATTGTGGCCAAGTAAGAGCTGTCCCCTCCAAACTGTAAAAAAAAAACAACCCACAACATGCAATATCAGTTTAAATTTAAAATTAGTCTTAAATAGATATGGATATGTTACCTCCCCTTACTTTCAATAAAAATCTTAATTGCATTTTACTTGTTTGAACAAAATAAAATACTACTTCTGTATCTCTGTTTTAAACATAAAAATTATTGTATGTCAACCCCAATACTCTGAAGCATGCCAAGTTACTTTTAAATATAAAGATGTCCAGTAAGCGTATATATTGCAATTAACCCCCAGAAAATCAGGATCGCTTTGATGCATGATACACATCAATGGGTAAATTAACATTATAAATTATAAATGTGCATACTATATCACCCTTAAGTAAGCAAGCACTTTCAAAAATGAAAATGAAATTCTACTCAGGCAAAGTAAATCTCTCGTAAGCAGAGAGGGTAAAAAATTATTTATTATCTCGATACACATTATTGAGATTAATTATCACAGTTTTTTTTTAATATGTAAAGACAGAAAAGTTTCTTTTATATGTTGAGTACATGTCTATATTCAGAGGACTAATATACTTCAAGAAAAAATAAATTCTGTGCTTAATGAATAAAAAGGGAGATAAATTTTCAGTTATAGCCATGCAATTCAATCACTAGTATGACACAACTGATGCCAGCATGGTTAAATTTTGTATCCTGTGACCATGTCCAAAGCTAAATAGAAAAGGTGAACAAAACAAGCAAAAATACATACTTCTGAATAATGTTCAAATGATGTCTAAAATTGTCAAAGTTAATGAAAGTTGTCAGGAGCACTTAGAATTTGGAAAGTAACTGATTCAATTCTACAAGAAAATTTAGTTTTACTTTTTCATTTTTTTTCTTTACCTAACACCTTATACAAAGAATTTCCAATCCCAAACATGTTATCAATTTTCTCATATTTTGTGTTCACTATCTTCATCTTTTCTTCATTTGTAATGAAAAAGGGGGGAAAGGTTACAGTCAGTAATATTTGGTTTTATATTTTATTATTTCCAGAATCCTACTGTAAATTATTTCTGGTTATAAATCCCAAAGATCAATTTCCTGTTACATAAATGCAGCTCTATAAATTCATCAAGTCTAATCATCACTATGTCAGATTATTACGTTCAGCATAATAAAATTAAAAAAGATAATAAATTTATTACATAATATAAATACTTCTTACAATGTTTACTCTGTTACACAGTGGAATGTATAAGAAAAGCAGAGGAAAAAAAACTGATAAAAGGTTACATGATCCAGAACACAATATATGTATTACTTTTCTTGAATGTAAACAATGTGTAGAAAGACAGTAAAAAAATCCTAATAGGCTGCAGGAAGAGTTATAAAAAGTGAATGCAGACAAATCATAGCAATGTTTGTTGTACATCTGCACTGAACACTATTTACAGTATTAAAACTTGTTACACTACCCACCCCTTTGTTTGATGCAGCAAACTGCAGGATTTTGGCTACAGAGCCCAGATTTCTTCTTTGATCATTAGAAAGTTGTTTATCTGCTTCCACATTGATGATGTCAAAAGCATCAGGGGCCACAATGGCAGAGTTGATGTATCGATAATACAACAGGTTACCAACAATCTACAAAGAATTGATCTGTATCTTCAAATGTTATTTCAGTGTGAAAACAAACATTTAAATGAAAGAATTTTTTTATACAATAACCAGTCTCACTTTTTTTCTTTGTTTAAAGTAAAAAAAAAAAAAGGGTTTCCTAATCTGATTGAAAAACTGGAAAACACAAACACATCATTCAAAGTAGATGGACATCCAAGTTACACCCCCTTGCACATCTTCAATAAAAAATAAGAAAAAAAAAATAGGAGGAGGCTGACCTTAAGTACATCTTTTTCTGCTGCCTCAGGGAACTTCTTCTCCAGAGCTGCCTTTAACACTTTTGCCATGTATCGCATTCCATATCTGTAAAACCAAATGTAAACCTACCAATCAGTGAGTAGTATAGAGTAACGACCCTATCACTATTTCATCATCCAACACAGTTCATAAAATGTACTCTGGAATATCATCTTATTCATTTGTGAGGATAACCTCTACACTTAAACAAAATAATATGAAGCTTATAGTACTGGTATGTATTATTGTAGATTCCTAAATATACACGAGGAATTAATTATCGCGTAATTTCACGAGAAGCATCACTCGTGAAATAAATTTACTCACTTTTATTTTTATGGTACTGATATTCATGTAAAATCTCTAAATCAACCGTCCGCTCATGAATTATCGTTCTCACGCTTTGACGTCAAACAGCCATTTTGCTGTATTAAGTACTCACGAAAAATAGGAATCTACAGAAACATGCTCAAGACTGAAATATACACTTACGGAATTTTATCTAGAGAAGAAGAGATTGCGGTAAGGAATTTATCTGTGACCTCGATCAGACGTGTAATGGACTCAGACAATAATGCTTTGACTTCTTCATGCTTTAGAGCCTGTTCTGTAGTCACGTCATAAGGCAAACCACTGAAATACAAACACTTTATATATATACACGTCTACGTACATCATCTGAAACATTTTTTACAATTTGTATATTCTCATCTTCATCTAAGAATCCAGAGCCCTTACAAATTGGAAAGGGGAGAACTTACTTAATATATCATATAACATTTTTGAACAAGTTTTTCTTTTATATCACGAATGTAATGTTTTACTAGTTACCCTTAAGAATGCTGAATCGAACCGGAAACAGTTATATCACATGATGGAAACAGCTGATCATCCTTGTGTGCTTTTATGCTACACATTATAGCTCAGGTTCAAGATTTAATGACATCAGTTGGTAAGCAAATGTAAACAACAGAGCATAGTTCAAAACATCAGGAAAACATTTCTGGGTCATATGTCTAAACTTTAACAATTTTCATTTTTTGGGGGGGGGGGGGGGGGTTTAATTTTAAAAATGTTATATAACATATACCACATGGCTTCTTGGGTGACTATAACAGAAATATTTGCCCCTCAGTGACAGAAAAGCCCTGGCCTGGAGTGTTACGTCACCCTCTGCCTTCGGCATCAGGCGACATAACACTCCAGCTTTTCTGTCACCTTAGGGCAAATATTCTAGTATGTCACCCTCTAAGCCATGTGATATATGCATAATATAACATTTTTGAAGAAGTTTTCCCATGATATCACAAATATGATATTTTTATCCATATGCCCTGAAAAACTGCTGAATCACGCCGGATATAGTTATATTACACCGGAAACAGTTATGTTGCCCTCCTGAACACCGTTATATTCCCTCGCGTGTAATCATTCTGCATATTAATTAAATCGGGTTCGAAATTCACAGAGGCAGTTGCTAAGCAAATGTAAACAGTTCCGCGAAAATGAAAATGTCTGGAAAACGTCTACGTTTTTTTTATGTTCATTTAAATTCAGAGGAACTAGATAGTTTGATTGAGGAGAAAAATTCCGTAAATACAACAAAAGTTATAAGCACAAGTGTCAGCGTGCTGAAAACATTCTGCAATGAAACGACGGAATATTTCGGAATTATTTATAGAGGAAGAGAAATCAGCCTTCATAACTTTCAGCTGTCCCCCGTTATCATTTTAACAACAATAGTGTTAATGTTCCTTAGCATTATTATTGAAACAATTGGTACCCACCAATCAACTATTTAAAAAACAATTTGCATGTTTTTTCCAGATATTTACACAAGTCCATAGTCTTCAATACATATGTCCGATTTTGGTTTTTTAAAAATGTTATATACCATATATTACATGATTTCTCGGGCAACAATACCAGAATATTTGCCCCTCGGTAACAGGAAAGCCCTGGAGTGTTATGTCGCCCTCTGCCTTCGGCATCGGGTGACATAACACTCCAGGGCTTTCCTGTCACCTCGGGGGCAAATATTCTGGTATGTTGCCCTCGAAGCCATGTAATATATGTATAATATCTACAACACTTCCTTGGTATATCACCTTCATGTCATGTACTAGCTTCTCATATTGCTCTATTGCAATCTTATTACCCAGTCATTCTTCTTAAGACCTTGACCTAGCTAAAATGACCTTGAGTCAAGGTAACAATCACATATTTTGGGCACGGAAAATTTCAAAAAACTCTTTTTGAAAAAGTACATTTATTAACTGCTAGAGTTCTTTAGTTACCAAGTTATGGCCCGCAAGTTTCCCTCTCAATGACTTTGACCTTGGCAAAATCGCACTTGACTTTAGCTGTGACAGACCTGATTTTGTTGATGACATAACTGTAATCTGTGTACTTACCTGGCTTTGTTGAGGACATACCTGTAATTTGTATACTTACCTGGCTGTGTTGAGGACATACCTGTAATTTGTATATTTACCTGGCTTTGTTGAGGACATACCTGTACTTTTTATATTTACCTGGCTTTGTTGAGGACATACCTGTACTTTTTATATTTACCTGGCTTTGTTGAGGACATACCTGTAATTTGTGTACTTACCTGGCTTTGTTGAGGACATACCTGTAATCTGTGTACTTACCTGGCTTTGTTGAGGACATACCTGTAATCTGTGTACTTACCTGGCTTTGTTGAGGACATACCTGTAATTTTTATATTTACCTGGCTTTGCCTGTTGAGGTCTCTGTCTGGTTGATCCAGCTTTTGTACACTTCTACTGGGTTGGTGTTAATCTTCATGTGTTTATCTTCAATCACCTCATTTATCAAAGGGTTCAACATCTCTCTAAGAGAGTTCTGTCCCCTTTGATTTCTGTAAGAATAAAAGTCATATTTATATTGGTGATGTCCACTTTACAAATCAGAATATCTTTAACAACTATTTAGTACAAAAATCATTTAGACAGATAAACTGATTTCATTTAATTGATACAATTAATAATGTAAAATGATTATTCACAGCAACATTATTTTATCTCTTTTACTTCAGTAACTAGCTAGACGGGTTTTCCAAACACTCAACTTATACTGAAAGCATCATTAAAATGATTAGATACAGTAATTTATATTAAGTATATAAATATAGTAATTATGTGCTTGTTCTTATTACATGTAGTTGTTTAAATGATCAGTATGCGATATTTTTCAACTACAATGTGTTTTGATACATCCCCTTAAACTTCTAATACACATAATTTTTGACAGATAAATAGCTGATTAAATATGTACAAAGAATACATTGTTGTGTGTACATTTAATTAGTATTAAATAAGGTTGTACAACCCCCAGTATCATCAAGTAGTCAATCATACACCTAATTTTACAACTAATGTTTGTTCACAAAATCTTGTCCGACACAGAGATAGTAAACAACTTATCATATTATAAAAATGGATTTATGGGTAAAATTGCATTTTTTTCTTTAAAAATGTGCCTGTCCTAATTCTAATATTTTTTTCTAAGCTGAAAAATGCATCAAAAGCTGTATGCTTGAGGTATTTAATAAATATTTCTATAATTCTTTAATCTGTACAAGCCCAATAATATATCCAATTGTGTATTTCAGTATGTCATATTTCAAATAAGTATTGTCTTGTATGGTATGCAAAAAAGCTAATATAAGGCCAAACTTATGCCTTCAAAATATCTAACAATTTTCAAAATAAGTAATCACATTTTTACAAATCCTTCCAAATCACTGAAAAAATAATATGAATTTAATCATATCTGAAAAAAATACATAACATCTGGGGGAAAAAACAGTAAAGTTGTATTTATAGAAGATTCTTTATCTTTGACTGTAAGGTGCAGATATCAAAACAACAAAATTGGACCTCTTCTTTTTTTCTTTTGTTTTATACAAAAATAAATAAATAAATAAATAAATAAATAAATAAATAAACAAAAACAAAAACAAAACAAAAGGAAAAAAAAAACAAAAACAAAAACAAGTAAAGTGAAATTTGAGTTATAAGACATTCAACTTAGTTCTGTGACTATAATAACTTTATTATTTTTTTAAAACTCTAGCTAAAAAATAGATATTTTAAATCAAATATACAATAGTTTATGATGCATTATTATATTCTGGTCATCATCATCAAAACTTCATTTCTCAAGACATTTCAGTTTTGACCAAATTCTTAACCAAATAGATCTCTTTGATAAACATCCTATTTAAAACCCTTCCAGGTCAAATTTGTCTTTCTTCGGATATTGTGTTAATGTGACTAGACTCAAGTTCAACAGTGAATTTTTGTTACAAGAATCTATAGGTTTTATCATAATTGAAAGTGAGGAACTATAGTACCTTAAGAATCAGAACTCTGTATGCATCTATATATAACAGAAGATTTCAGAGAAAATTGATATTGGCTGATAGAAGAATTCAAATATGTGACTATTTCCACCTGGCTGTATTAGAAGAATAGATCTCGGGCAATCTGCAACAAAGCTAAAGACTATACAACCCTGAAGAAACTCCTCATCAAGTACATTAATCCATGTTTACAAGAACTAGAATACATTATGACAAATAAATGCCATTTTAACAAAAGTTTGCAACTCATTATGCTATTTTGATAAATCACTTGGAAAAAGATTCTACACGTAATTAAATGACAAAAAATATGAATGCCAAGAAATCTATCTAGAACATTCTTAACCCCCCTCCCCACATGTTCCTTCCTGTGATTTAGACTACTTCTTTGAAGAGATATGAAAATTTAACTCATGTTCAAAGCTTCTTCCCAATATGTGATATTTTCTAAGCAACTCCAATCACTGACCAAGTCAAGTCTGCCATGGCTTCCTATATCCACTTCCCCAAGAATAACTTAAATGAACAAGATGTGTTTGTGAAAGACTGATGCCCCCATATGGCAGCTTATGGTCGTTATAGTTTTTCAAAAAATGGTCAACTCTAAGGCCAAGATCATGAGTCAAAAATGTTGGTGCCCAAAGAAAGGTCTTGTCACAAGGAATACATGTGAAACATAAAAGCATAGCACCAATCATTCAGAAGGTATGGTCAAGGTTAAAAGTTTTTCAGAAGTAGGTCAAACTCTATGGTCAAGGTCACAAGGTCTAAAATAATGGTACCAAAAGAACCAAGGAATACACATGTGAAATATAAAAACCCTAGCATCAATCATTCAGATGTTATGGCCAAGGTTAAAGTTGGTTAAAGTTTCACAAAAATAGGTCAAACTCATCCTGGGGTCAAAAATGTTGGTACCCAAAGAAAAGTCCTCTCACAAGCAATACACATGAGAAATATGAATGCCCTAGCACCAACCATTCAAAAGTTATAAGTAAGGTTAAAGTTTCTGGGGACAAATAGATTAACAGACAATTATGGACAGACTGACCAAAAACTTTATGCCCCCAATCTCTGATTGGGGAGGAGGGGAGGCATAAAAAGTCAACAAATTTTCTTTAAGAACAATGTTACCCAGAGATTATTTTTAAAAAACTCTGTAGCCACATACTGTAAAAGCACAAATATTCGTTGGGGATTTATTTTCGTTTATTTCGTTGTTAACAATTATCAACGAAATTAAATCCCACACTGAATTTTTATATGACTATATATAGAATAGGGTTACTTTCGAAACAACAAATTTTAATGCCCACGAAACCTTCTTAGATGACAAAACAACGAAATTTTATCCCCACGAAAATTTGTTCTTCTACAGTATATACAGAATCTCTACATATAAATGACTCACTAAGGAGAGAGTAATCCAACTTAAAATCTACCAGTTCAACAGCAATGCAAAATCAAAACTTATGTCAAAGTTACCAGGAAAATTGTGAGGGAATCGTAGCACAACACTAATGTGATATTCATTAAGAGAAGCAATTTCATGAATATAAAAGGTGTGTTACTGTTGCTTGAGATATTTACCTGTTAAATCCAACGATCATTTTAACAACCAAAGGGTTTCCAGTGACAAAATCACTCATTTTGTCTACCTTAGATCTGAAAAAGAAAAAAAAAATGATGCTAAAAAAAATGACATGAAAAGGGAAAAATAAGCCTCACAATTAATTACTAAAAATCAATTACAAATCTTGTACACACTGGTTAGCTGCAAGAAGTAAAACAGTAAAAAATATTCTCAGTAAATTTGCTCAATTAACACATTACTGAAAAAATTAATAAATTCTTATCAGAATAAATAAAGATTTAACATCAATAATTACCTTAAAAATACTAATAATATACATCAAATTACAGAGGTCAAACAGAATGAATAATTTTTCTAAATAAAAGTTAGGGCTGTCTTTCAAAAGACAGAGAAAACATTGTACTTCATATAAATCTTTGCTGTGTATAAACACAGAACCTCTCCCTGAATTGTCCCTGACTTTCTGTTTATAAAAAGTCAACATGGTTAAGGCAAACCTGGTAAATCCCAAGGTTCTACAGTATAGAGATTAAGAAAATGAAAATAACACCAAGAAAAAAAATCACACACACTCTCTAATATAGAAAGAGGGGTAATATTTCAGAATTTTAGATCTATCTCCCAAGAACATTCTTACTTACAGACTTCATTAATGTGATTTTGTGAAATGACAAGAAGTTGTGATGAAACCATAACTGATGTATCATAGTGCCTCAAGATTTGGTAATCTGTATGTGTCAGGGGTGTCTCAAGATTTGGTTATCTGTGTGTCAGGAGGTCATAAGATTTGGTTATCTGAATGTGTCAGGGGTTCTTCAAGATTTGGTTATCTGTATGGGTCAAGGATGCCTCAAGATTTGGTTATCTATATGTGTTAGGGGTGCCTCAAGATTAGGTTATCTCTATGGGTCAGGGGTGTCTCAAGATTTGGTTATCTGTATGGGTCAGGGGTGCCTCAAGATTAGGTTATCTGTATGGGTCAGGGGTGCCTCAAGATTTGGTTATCTGTTTGTGTCAGGGGTACCTCAAGATTTGCCTCAAGATTTAGTTATCTGTATGTGTCAGGGGTGCCTCAAGATTTGGTTATCTGTATGTGTCAGGAGGTCATAAGATTTGGTTATTTGAATGTGTCAGGGTAGCCTCAAGATTTGGTTATCTGTATGTGTCAAGGATGCCTCAAGATTTGGTTAGCTGTATGGGTCAGGGGTGTCTCAAGATTTGGTTATCTATATGTGTCAGGGGTGCCTCATGATTTGGTTATCTGTATGTGTCAGGAGGTCATTAGATTTGGTTATCTGAATGTGTCAGGGTAGCCTCAAGATTTGGTTATCTGTACCTATCAGGGGTGCCTCAAGATTTGGTTAGCTGTATGGGTCAGGGGTGTCTCAAGATTTGGCTATCTGTTTGTGTCAAGGATGACTCAAGATTTGGTTATGTGTATGGGTCAGGGGTGTCTCAAGATTTGGTTATCTTGATGTGTCAGGGGTGCCTCAAGATTTAGTTATCTGTTTGTCTCTGGGGTGCCTCAAGATTTGGTTATGTTTGTCTCTGGGGTGCCTCAAGATTTGGTTATCTGTATGTGTCAGGGGTGCCTCAAGATTTGGTCATCTGTTTGTGTCAGGGGTGCCTCAAGATTTGGTTATCTGTTTGTGTCAGGGGTGCCTCAAGATTTGGTTATCTGTTTGTGTCAGGGGTGCCTTGGTTATCTGTTTGTGTCAGGGGTGCCTCAAGATTTGGTAATCTGTTTGTGTCAGGGGTGCTCAAGATTTGGTTATCTTGATGTGTCAGGAGGTCATAAGATTTGGTTATCTGTATGGGTCAGGGGTGCCTCAAGATTTGGTTATCTGTTTGTCTCTGGGGTGCCTCAAGATTTGGTTATCTGTATGGGTCAGGGGTGCCTCAAGATTTGGTTATCTGTTTGTGTCAGGGGTGCCTCAAGATTTGGCTATCTGTTTGTCTCTGGGGTGCCTCAAGATTTGGTTATCTGTTTGTGTCAGGGGTGCCTCAAGATTTGGTTATCTGTACGTATCACGGGTGCCTAAAGATTTGGTTATCTGTACGTATCACGGGTGCCTAAAGATTTGGTTATCTGTACGTATCTGGGGTGCCTCAAGATTTGGTATCTGTTTGTGTCAGGGGTGTCTCAAGATTTGGTTATCTGTTTGTGTCAGGGGTGCCTCAAGATTTGGTTATCTGTTTGTGTCAGGGGTGCCTCAAGATTTGGTTATCTGTTTGTGTCAGGGGTGCCTCAAGATTTGGTTATCTGTATGTGTCAAGGGTGCCTTGGTTATCTGTACGTGTCAGGGGTGCCTTAAGATTTGGTAATCTGTATGTGTCAGGGGTGCCTCAAGATTTGGTAATTTGTTTGTGTCAGGGGTGTCTCAAGATTTGGGTTATCTGTTTGTGTCTGGGGTGCCTCAAGATTTGGTTATATGTTTGTGTCTGGGGTGCCTCAAGATTTGGTTATATGTTTTTGTCTGGGGTGCCTCATGATTTGGTTATCTGTATGTGTCAAGGGTGCCTTGGTTATCTGTATGTGTCAGGGGTGCCTCAAGATTTGGTAATCTGTATGTGTCAGGGGTGTTTCAAGATTTGGTTATCTGTATGTATCAGGGGTGCCTCAAGATTTGGTTAACTGCATGTGTCAGGGGTGTTTCAAGAGTTGGTTATCTGTATGTTTCAGGAGGTCATAAGATTTGGTTATCTGTGTGTGTCAGGGGTGTCTCAAGATTTGGTTATCTGTATGTGTCAAGGGTGCCTTAGTTATCTGTATATGTCAGGGGTGTCTCAAGATTTGGTTATCTGTATGTTTCAGGAGGTCATAAGATTTGGTTATCTGTGTGTGTCCGGGGTGTCTCAAGATTTGGTTGTATGTATGTGTCAGCAGACCTGTTTACCCATATTGTTGTCTCTCCATATTTTTTATTAGATTTGTCAGTGAGGTTTGACATTTGCCCGTAAGATTTCACTTTCCATCCATTTTGCACATACAACTAGAGAAACCACCGCGTTTTTGGCAACCCGACATCACTTAAGTGTTTGCAATCTTTCTTTTTTAGTGATTAAAAAGCGTCAAACTGAGACAGATCATAACGAAAACTAACTGCTAAAATCCAAACGAACGGATTTCGGATTTTCCGTATTTTCATTAAAGCAAAACGTGAGACGTATTATGGACTCAAAATCAGTAAAAAATACGGCGAAATCATAAGAGTAAACAGGTCTGTGTCAGGGATGTCTCGAGATTAAGATCACTAATACGTGATTTGTAAATGTTCTTGGCTTTCATGTTTTGACTATCATGCAGTGTTACATTTATTGATGTGTATTATATACATGTTTTATCTGCCAGGGTTACTTTTATTGATGTGTATTATACATATGTATATAAGAAGTGATCAAAAAAGTACATGAATGAAAATGATATTTAAAATTAAGTGAAGAATAGCACATTCCTTCCAGATTTCTTGTGTTTTGATCTCTGAATACTGTGATTCCATTGATATTTGTGGGCATCAATTTTCGTGGATTTAGTGTAATTTACAATTTTGAGGATACATAAATTTATGGATAATGGTCATACCAATTTTGTCACTTTTTTTTACTTAATTTTTTCTCCTTGTATGATATTAATGCTATTTTAAAGCCAGAACCTTCAAGTTTTACAACATATACAGTAATAAATAGCTAAAAACAATTATGTGTATGAACACTCTTCAATTTATTATTTAACTTAATTAATCTATATTGAAAAAAAAAACCTTGAAGGAATACTGTAAACCAACTATTATTCGCGCCAACTTTTATTCGCGATTCGTCAGTTTGAAATCAATCCGTGACAATTAATTTTTACGACTGAGGAAACATTCTCTGTAAATACAAAGCAAAATAAATGGTTCGCGGCGATTAATATTCGCGAGATAAAGTAGGTCGTGAAACTCGTGAATATTTCTAGCATGTGAATAAAAGTTGGTTTATAATGTGAGAAATTTCACATAGCGACTCCATTGCAAGACTCTTGAGTTTGATAAAAACAGTAGCTGATGTTGAAAAAAATAGTTAAAATCTCTGTTCTTAGCTTAGTTATTCTCAGCTTCATACATTTATTTCACAAAATGTCAGATCATGATTTATATATCAAAATATCTTTTATTTGTATTTTATCATGATTAAAAATGTGAAAGTAAACCTATTGTGTTATTGTGTTTGGGTGTGTGGGGGTGGGTGAGGTGTGGGGTGGGGTAAGGAGTTGTTTATTATAAATCTAAATGGAGGCACCAAATTTCGATGAACATTGATTTTGTGGATCCACTCAACATCATAATCCATGAAATTGGTGTTCAACAAATAATGATGAAATCACAGTAAGTAAATGTCCAGTTTATCATGCTATTAATCAAGAAGCTGTCTATATGGACTAGCACAAGTGCACTGCTCCGTTCATTTTGATTTCAATCTGAACCTAGTGTTGGCTAATGTGCACTATAGTCATCTCTGTTTTAATTGATATTACACTGGCATGCTAAGCATCATGGTCTTGATAAGGAATAATCAGGTGACATGGCTGAACTGGAGCATGAAGAGAATAGGTGACTACTATCAGAAAAAGTTACTTCTATCAAGTCTATATACTGGTCTCAACACCATGCTTGAAATATCTGAAAGCATGAAGACTTCTTAAAAAAAAATCCTAAATTATGTAAGCAAGGAGGTGCAAAATGTATATTCCATATGCTAAATCTAAATTGTTTAAAAAATATTCACAAGTCCATTCAAATGAAAGCATATATGATGAATTTAAGTCTTCAAACTTTCAGCTTCCACTAGAAAAAAAAATTTAAAAATCACTTGATATCTAGTTATATGGCATCCAGAATTCAGTTGATGTGTCTAATGATGTATGAATAAAAGTCAAAACACATCCACAAGGCATGGTCATACTTACATTCGACTGTAGCATTCAAATGAAATAGGAGTCATTAAACATTTACCAAAGGTTACAAATAATGATAATTATCTAAATCACATACAAAAAATTATACTGACAGAAAAAAATCAGATGAATGACATGCATCTGGCTTGTCTCATGCGATTAGTTAAAAATGAAATTAAACAAAATATATGTATGAATTTTTATGATTCATAAGATTAAATGCATGTGCTGTTTTCAAGAAAAAGGTGCCTTGAATAATCATAAAGAACATTTCTCAGAAAGTTTGATGTTATGTTCATTATATCAATCTAAAAGATTTATCCAGTAAAAAAAGTGTAATATGTTCTGCAACCAAAAAAAAAAAAAAAACTTTCACATACTCCACAACATTGCTTTTGGGTGTTGTTTAACCTGTGACCTCTAAATACATGTATAACTTTGACCCAACATAAATCCATGACAAAGAAACATCCACACCTATTGTTAAATGTAAGTCTCTAAACTGGTCTACATGGCATAAACGAACCTTAAAAAAATCCCCAATGTAAAAATAAACTTCGCTATAGATTTTAACATCTTTTGTCTGAATCAACTAAGATTCTACAACTAACTATTATCTATCTATAATCACAAACAAGTACGGAAGTCCCCCCACTTTCTCTTCATCTATCCCAGTCCATTGTGCTACACCTCTCTAACTCCCACCAACACTACTCCATCTTTTGTCTGAATTAACTCTTCCCACTCCATTGTGCTATACCTCTAACTCCCACCAACACTACTCCATCTTTTGTCTGAATTATCTCTTCCCACTTCATTGTGCTATACCTCTAACTCCCACCAACACTACTCCATCTTTTGTCTGAATTATCTCTTCCCACTTCATTGTGCTATACCTCTAACTCCCACCAACACTACTCCATCTTTTGTCTGAATTAACTCTTCCCACTCCATTGTGCTATACCTCTAACTCCCACCAACACTACTCCATCTTTTGTCTGAATTATCTCTTCCCACTTCATTGTGCTATACCTCTAACTCCCACTCAAACTATTCCATATTTTGTCTGAATTAACTCTTCCCACTCCATTGTGCTATACCTCTCCATCTCCCACCCACACTATTCCATCTTTTACCTGAATTAACTTTTCCCACTCCATTGTGCTATACCTCTCCAGCTCCCACCCACACTATTCCATCTTTTGTCTGAATTAACTCTTTCCACTTCACTGTGCTATACCTCTAACTCCCACCCACACTACTCCATCTTTTGTCTAAATTAACTCTTCCCACTCCATTGTGCTATACTTTTAACTCCCACCCAAACTATTCCATCTTTTGTCTGAATTAACTCTTCCCACTCCATTGTGCTATACCTCTAACTCCCACCCACACTACTCCATCTTTTGTCTGAATTAACTCTTCCCACTCCATTGTGCTATACCTTTAACTCCCACCCAAACTATTCCATCTTTTGTCTGAATTAACTCTTCCCACTCCATTGTGCTATACCTCTCCAGCTCCCACCCACACTACTCCATCTTTTGTCTAAATTAACTCTTCCCACTCCATTGTGCTATACTTTTAACTCCCACCCAAACTATTCCATCTTTTGTCTGAATTAACTCTTCCCACTCCATTGTGCTATACCTCTAACTCCCACCCACACTACTCCTTCTTTTGTCTGAATTAACTCTTCCCACTCCATTGTGCTATACCATTAACTCCCACCCAAACTATTCCATCTTTTGTCTGAATTAACTCTTCCCACTCCATTGTGCTATACCTCTAACTCCCACCCACACTACTCCATCTTTTGTCTGAATTAACTCTTCCCACTCCATTGTGCTATACCATTAACTCCCACCCAAACTATTCCATCTTTTGTCTGAATTAACTCTTCCCACTCCATTGTGCTATACCTCTCCAGCTCCCACCCAAACTATTCCATCTTTTGTCTGAATTAACTCTTCCCACTCCATTGTGCTATACCTCTCTAACTCCACCCACACTTACTCAATTTCTTCCTCCAGAGCTTTTCGGAACAGCTTCAGCAATAGGTACTCCTCTCTCTGATTGGCTCCGTAATTAAACAGCGAGTAAATAACTGCTTCCATAAACTTAGTCATCTTAGTTTGTGGCATTTCAAAGATGAGCTTAGCGAGGTACAATGGATTAGTCTGTAGGAGGTAAAACAGATGTTGGTATGCCTCTAGTCGGTCATGACATGCCTTACTTAAGCCCTTCAGACCTTTTGGCATCTGCATGCTGTCCTCCCGATGTTTAGAGAGCTTCTTGCCATGGGTGACAACATCCTATATTTCAAAGTAAGTAATTACAGAAATATACTACATGCTTAAGTTAATTTCATATAAAATGAAGCAAAATATTTGGTAACAAATTGAAGTGATTAAGTCATAAATTACAAATTTATTTCATTCATTGAAGTATGAAGTGATAAATGTAATTCAATATAAATTCACAGACTAACAACAATAATGTATACTGATCTGTATAGTCTCTTTCCTTCATATTTCAAATTCATTGTTTAAATCTTTCAGATAAACTTTTAATTACGGTAGAAAGACGTAAATACTGTACCTGTAAGGTGACTCTGTTTTTGATGAGTAGACCAATTTTGATGTCCATCTGGTCCAGATCATCTTCCAGCTTTTTAGTGGACTTGATCTCAGCGACCACTTTCTGACGGGTTCTGTGTAATTCTGAAGCAAGGCAAACAATGCTTTAACAAATCAATCTTAAGCTGCCATTTTCTCTATTCGTTAATTACAAAGGTCGAAATCACCTTTCTGTGAGTAATTAAACTGACAAATGATATAATCCAATTTTCTCCTTAACCTAATTCTCAATACGCTAATTCACATAAAATGATCTTGAAGAAGGTTTTGGATAAAGTCATACTGGAGCAAACTTCCCTTTTTAACATCATTGGAAAAAAATGGCCTGGGTGAAAAACATCCCCGTATGCAATATCATCATTCAATTCTGACTACCGTACAACTTCAAATCTGTGAACCATTCCAATCAATAAAATTACATAGATCTATAAATAATGCAGATTGTAATGTTGGGTGTTTGTACAGTTCTTATCCTGTGTGACCAGACAGAGGTCTAGTGTCTTATGTTTGTACAGTCCTTGTCCTGTGTGACCAGACAGAGGTCTAGTGTCTTATGTTTGTACAGTTCTTGTCCTGTGTGACCAGACAGAGGTCTAGTGTCTTATGTTTGTACAGTTCTTGTCCTGTGTGACCAGACAGAGGTCTAGTGTCTTATGTTTGTACAGTTCTTATCCTGTGTGACCAGACAGAGGTCTAGTGTCTTATGTTTGTACAGTTCTTGTCCTGTGTGACCAGACAGAGGTCTAGTGTCTTATGTTTGTACAGTTCTTATCCTGTGTGACCAGACAGAGGTCTAGTGTCTTATGTTTGTACAGTTCTTATCCTGTGTGACCAGACAGAGGTCTAGTGTCTTATGTTTGTACAGTTCTTGTCCTGTGTGACCAGACAGAGGTCTAGTGTCTTATGTTTGTACAGTTCTTATCCTGTGTGACCAGACAAAGGTCTAGTGTCTTATGTTTGTACAGTTCTTATCCTGTGTGACCAGACAGAGGTCTAGTGTCTTATGTTTGTACAGTTCTTATCCTGTGTGACCAGACAGAGGTCTAGTGTCTTATGTTTGTACAGTTCTTGTCCTGTGTGACCAGACAGAGGTCTAGTGTCTTATGTTTGTACAGTTCTTGTCCTGTGTGACCAGACAGAGGTCTAGTGTCTTATGCTTGTACAGTCCTTATCCTGTGTGACCAGACAGAGGTCTAGTGTCTTATGTTTGTACAGTTCTTGTCCTGTGTGACCAGACAGAGGTCTAGTGTCTTATGTTTGTACAGTTCTTGTCCTGTGTGACCAGACAGAGGTCTAGTGTCTTATGTTTGTACAGTTCTTATCCTGTGTGACCAGACAGAGGTCTAGTGTCTTATGTTTGTACAGTTCTTGTCCTGTGTGACCAGACAGAGGTCTAGTGTCTTATGTTTGTACAGTTCTTGTCCTGTGTGACCAGACAGAGGTTTAGTGTCTTATGTTTGTACAGTTCTTGTCCTGTGTGACCAGACAGAGGTCTAGTGTCTTATGTTTGTACAGTTCTTGTCCTGTGTGACCAGACATCTATAAATAATACAGACTGTAATGTTGTTGGGTGTTTGTACAGTCCTTATCCTGTGTGACCAGACAGAGGTCTAGTGTCTTATGTTTGTACAGTTCTTGTCCTGTGTGACCAGACAGAGGTCTAGTGTCTTACCAATTTCTTCAGCATAATCAATATCACCAAATTCCAAAAGATGTACAAATCTCTGAACAACAGGTAATGGGGGGTTGGCTTCATTCACTGAAAAACAAAACACAGTGAGAGAGACATGAAGCTGAGGAGAAGCCAAGAGTTATCTACCTACAAAGCAAGCCTGTATGTACGACTGTTATCCATTTATTGTACACTTAAAATATGAATAAAACTTGCAGATGAAGAGCTTTCTGTTATAAAATGATTTAAAATTGTGGTCATTTCCATCATTTCACTGAAGCACTTTTGTTTAGAAATTGTTTTAAAGAATTCCGTTATGAGGATTTGTAAATCCTGGTTTCAGTGACTTACTGAGTGAGATGTAATCATGTCTGGCCTTGTTGGATCTGAAGTAAGACTGAAGCTTTATAACTGCTGCAACCTATAATACAAACATTAAATCTATAACTTATTTTTAATATCTACCAAATTTGTGAACCTATCAATTTTTTTTTTCTTCAAACCCTCTTTAATTTAAAATTTAAATGTTTGCACATTTTTCAGATTTTTTAAGAGACAAGCAGCTTTACAAGCAATTATATTGTGCTTCTCGACCCCACATGTGTGACATACTGTATGTTTCTTATTATATGGTGCCAGGTTAATATCAAAACAAGGACTACTACTAAAACCATACTTACGTGGTCGTTGAAGAACTTCTTTCTTGTCTGAAATGCCTTTCTAGCTTTTAATCCTCTAAACTGAGCTTGCAGCTGACAAAATAATAAAAAATACAAACATCAGGCTAACTTTAAAATAATGTTTGTGTGCTCTCTCCCGACTCAGGATGAAAAAAATGGGTTGGTAGGTAGGTGAGAAAAAATACTGGTCCAGTGGTTCGAAAGCACTTGTACTTGAAAGTTAAGTAAGTTTACAGACACAGATGTTCACACACTCTTGCTCAGGTGAGCTATAAATTGTACACTACAATTTGTTAAGTTGACACTTTAAGCTACCTTAATAGCAGCATCTTCATTATCTCTCATGTACTGTAATCTATCTTGGTACTTCTTCCTCTGCAATACCATCTTCCATTTTGACTGAAATGTCATCATCATACTCACAGATTAATCTAATAATCTTTGGCAATATATTTATATGATCTGATCCTTTTTTATAAAGTTTGGGCAATAGAAATAACTCTTGAATCTTTAGGATCAATAAAGCTGTTCAATAAATTGTGATTATAGCCCAAAGTTTTAATTTCTCTTCTTTAGCTGAAAATTTCCCCTCTAACAATTATTTCTAGGCTGTATACCTGGATCTTTAGAATAAGAGGTAGCTGTCGCTTCATAAAGTCAAGCCTCTCCTTATATGCCTTCCTGGCCTGGTAACCACGGTAAGTCGACTGGATCTTCACTACCAGATTTTCATTTGACTGCAGGAAAAGTTCTCTGTCATGTGCCGCTGTCACATCAGAAACGACTCGCTACAGAACAGCAAAATCAGAGACCGTCTGAATTATCTACACATTGTGAATGTTATGGATGAAGAATTATACACTGTTCATAAAATAATGTGGATTGGGAAAATAACATGATATTCTTTTTCTTGTCACTTTGTTCAAGATTCCTCATTTTTTGGCAAAATTAAATCAATAGTGAATTAATTCATAATTAAAATATTTAGCACAAGGTACATGCCTATGAAGTGAAATTAAAACCATCACAATTGGTACATATGAAACAATCACGAAATTTTAGCACTGTGGAATTAAAGCAACTTGCAGTATATTTGGGTACATTCATGCATACTTTTAACATTTACATAGCCTAAAGGAGTTGACAATTAACTCAAGTGTAACATCAAATTTACTGATAAGTTTCAATTTCCCTTTCTATATAACTTTCATAGAGAAAGAAAGACATATATTAATTTCCCTTTACCTGTCCATACTTAAAACATTCCTTCAAAAGATACGGTATGTTTGCAGGACTGCAGCTTTATACATGTATTTCCTCCATGTTTGCAGGTCTGTACAACTTACCTGTATTTCCTCCATGTTTGCAGGTCTGTACAACTTACCTGTATTTCCTCCATGTTTGCAGGTCTGTACAACTTTCCTGTTTTTCCTCCATGTTTGCAGGTCTGTACAACTCACATGTATTTCCTCCATGTTTGCAGGTCTGTACAACTCACCAGTATTTCTTCCTTGTTTACAGGTCTGTACAACTCACCGGTATTTCCTCCTTGTTTACAGGTTTGTACAACTCACCAGTATTTCTTCCTTGTTTACAGGTCTGTACAACTCACCAGTATTTCCTCCTTGTTTACAGGTCTGTACAACTCACCAGTATTTATTCCTTGTTTACAGGTCTGTACAACTCACCGGTATTTCCTCCTTGTTTACAGGTTTGTACAACTTACCTGGATTACCTCATTTACAGGTCTGTACAACTTACCTGGATTTCCTCCTTGTATGCAGGTCTGTAAACTTTTCCCATATTTTCTCTTTGTTTACAGGCATGTACAGCTTATCTGTATTTCTATTTGTTACAGAAATATACAACTTACTTGTATTTCCTCTTTGTTTACAGGCCTGTACAGCTTTTCTGTTTCTCCTTCTTGTTTACAACTCTGTACAGCTTACCTATATTTCCTCCTTGTTTGCAAGCCCGTAAAACTTACCTGTACATGTATTTCCTCCTTGTATGCAGGTCTGTACACTTCCCATATTTCCTCCTTGTTTACAGGCCTGTACAGCTTATCTCTATTTTCTCTTTGTTTACATGCCTGTACAGCTGATCTGTACTTCCTACTTGTTTACAGAAATATACAACCTACTTTATTTGCTCATTTATTTAAAGACCTGTTCAGCTTACCTGTATTTCCTCCTTATTGAGGAGTCCATGATCTTTGACCACACTTTCTGGACGTGACCATTTATACTCCTTTGTGTGTGTGTTGTAGTAGAACTTAGATCCATCCTTCAGTCTGTTCATCATCCAGCCACTCCCACTCTCTCCTGAAAACAAAATACATTATAACTTTACAACATGGTAAAAAAAGATATGGCAACATATTACTATAGACTTATCATTACTATAAAGGAGATATCACCTACTGGAAACAAGATCTGCATTTTTTATCTTTTTTTAAGCAACAGCTTGACAAATTATCACTTTAGTAATTTAGAGATTTTAACAATATTAGCCATGATTATTTTATTTGCAAATTTCTTAGAATTATGCACATCATCCTTTAATCACCATTTGGAAAATATGCAAGTGGATTCTGTTAATGAAGTTTACCAACCACCTACCTCTAGAGTAAAATACTCCAAAACATCAATGTGTATGAAACACCTTTTTATCAGGATTACCTACATAATATGAACAAACCCTTTGATTTCAAGATCCCTTTCAGTCCCCTATCCAAACCTTTTATTTCCTATAACCTTGACCCCATTGGCCTTTTCCTCCATTACCTTGACATTCCTTCATATAATCTTGACCCCACTGGCATTTTCCTCCATTACCCGACCTTCCTTCATATAACCTTGAACTATCTAACCTGCTAAATCTCTTTCTCCTCTTATCTAGCTTCCTTTATTTTTTTAAGAACTACCATAACATTCTTCTCCCCTTATCTTGAGCCCCCCCCCTTTAATTTTCCTCCTCCCTTTGCTTTCTTCTGATTTCTCTAGATATTACCTGACCCTTTCTTTCTCCTTGCTGTTACCCCTACACTGCTTTCAATGATTCACCCCCCTTTTCCAGTTTTATCTTGATTTTTTTCAACTCTTTTTACCAAGAACACTCCCCTCTTTAATGAAGTACTTTCTCTCCTAACTAGTCTTGCTCTATATTTATCTTAACCTCTCCTCTCTTCCTCTTCTTACAATGAACCCTTTCTTTATATACTTTTTCTCCTCTCTAGCTTTCTCTAGGTTTACCTACACCCTCCCCTATTTACCATGCTCTTTTTTCTCCTCCCTAGCTTGCTGAAGTTTTTCTAGGTATGTTTCCTTGCAGTCTGGGATTACACTGTGGATGGCCAGCTCTGAGGTAGCCATGCTCTCTAGGAGTTTGTCTCCATCATGTTCATCTACTGCTGTATTAACATTCTCCACTCCTTCAGATACTGATAATAAAGAGAAAACACATTCCAAAATATAGATTTATGGATGAGGGGGGAAGAGATGGTTGCCATGTACAATTTAACTGACATGTAAATATTTGCAAATGTCTATAGAGCATAGAAAGACCGACAAAGTAGCTGAAAAAATGGTCTTAAGAAGTCTTTTTCAATAACATATCCATTTTTTTTTTTTTTTACATTTAAGTCCAAATTGGGCATCTTTGTTGGCATTGTCCACTGCAGCCTGAATTTCCTCTAGCCACAGCTCCATTTCTTCATCATGACTCTCCTGAAATAAGGAGTACAACACTACATTATGAGAACCAAGTATTGAGACAAAGCAGTAGTCAGATCAAAGCATTCACCTTCCTCCCAGGACTTTTAAGAAATAAAACTCACATAATAACAAAAAAGGGTGGAAATTTACAGTAAAATTTTTCTAAACTGAATGTTTTATACTCCAAAATCTTGCCTATTGCAAGAGGGAGAGGACTACTTAAGTTTTTAGAACTTATGTCAAATCCTGTTGACATATATTGTCAATAAAATACATTTAAAACAAAACAAAGTAATTTTTAGTCCCTTTCTAAAATCCAATTGTTTATAATGTTGTCTAATCTGTCTAATTTCTATGGAACCAATGGTATCCAGATTAGACAAGTTTTACCGTATTTCATCTGGAATGTTACCTCAGACTTCTTATTCTTCTCCCGTACAAGAAGGACGTGATAACGGTAGTCTTGGGCTTCCATCACATCCTGAAGTTTGGCCTCAGGGCTCTGCAATGCCTCTAACGTTATCTTAGGATCCCCCTTTTCTATGATTTGGTTTATGTGTCTCAGTGCTTCAATTCCTATAACGATTACAGAACAAATTTCATAGGATTTTAAACTGTCTTTAACCTTTTCTCCATTCTTCTTCTGTCTGTACAGGGTTCAACACTAACTTTTTAAGGCTTTAGTCCGGCCGGACTAGTACTTCTTTACTTTTACTAGTCCGCACGCGATTTTATGAGTCCGTCAAAAAAAAAAAGTTTTTAAACATTAATTTAATGTGACAATTAATATACGTTTTATACTTTTTTTGAAATAAACAAAGCATTTACGTGAAATATATTATTCCACAGATTCATTGAAATCTCGCAATCAGCCATCGTCGCAAGCCACGGGTTTTGTGTCCATTCTATTTGAGGAAATAGAATGGACACAAAACCCGTGGCTTGCGACGATGGCAATCAGCAAGTACGATCGTATTATCGATCTCGTTTTTTTTTTTTTTTTTGTCTTTACATTACATCCAAAACGTCCAACATCTTTCTTTAAAGTGTCATACTGAACGAAAAATAAAGCGCGGAATTGACTCGGAATTGCGTAACTACCCGTCAAAAGCTAAAAATCTAAAAATAAATGCGGGGTTTTCTAGTAAAAGTTGTCGAGAATCGGACATCAGTAATTTATTCATATTGTTTTCCAGAAATTTTTATTGGTCCGCTCGGACTAATTAATCACAGATTTTATTAGTCCGAATGAAAATGTATTAGTCTGAGACTAACGTTAGTGTCGAACCCTGTCTGTACTCATAATGTTCATGTACAAATGATTTCAGAGGAAAAAACTTAAAACATTCTGCAGCAGAAATAAATATGATACTTACGCTGATGTTCCTCAGTGACTTGCTGGTTGACCTGATCTATACATGAGCAAATCTCAAAGTGGGTCAGTAGGTCACAGGGACTCTAAAACACAAACATTCTTTTAATATCCCTAGCATCCTATGAAAAATATACCATTACTTTATTTTCTTTTATTTTTTGTGAACTCTTTTATTAACAGAAAATCCAAAGCTTTGCAAAGATTAAGTAACAATACCATAAAAAGGCAAATATTATAGAATCCTTATTTACGTGAGAACTTAATATTGCGAAATGACTCTTAGACATCAAATCACTAGAACAGTAATTCAGTTGACCTCAAGATTTACATGGATTTTAGGCCCATAAAAATAAAAGCGAGTGTTTTATTCTGCAAGTGATGCTTCTGGTGAAATCACGCAATAATTCTTCGCATATATATTTTATACACATTTTAGCATTATAAAATGTTTCAATATTTATAAATTTAATATTTTCAATACAGCTATATAAATTTAGATATACTTCCACAAGAGTTTGCTAGAAATGACTTACGTCTGATTTAGCTCGTTTACTCTCTTGGAGTAGGATTTGGTATCTATCAGCATTAGTTTCATCCAGGTTAGATATACAGGTCTCTGGATTACGCAGAGCCTCATAGGTCCCCTCAGCATTTCCTATGTCAATGGCTTCATTTATCTTAGCCACTGATGAGAGCACTGAAAATCAAAACAGATGTACCTGAAGCTGACAAAATTTTGTTAATGTAGAGCTGCCAACATCATAAAATGAAGAATCATGAAGGGTCCAAGAGCCACCAAGGCCCTTGGCAGCTGGAGATTTTTGTGATAGCTTCAGTCAATCACCGTTGATTCCATATGAGGCATTTGGCAAATGTGACTATTTGTGTACACATTACATGACGAACTATGGAGAGCTACTGTGTCTTTGTTTGTTGTATACAGTGTACACGAATATGGGTTCTTGTAATTCTTTCGTATTATTTATTGTGTTTAAATCACTGAGATTTCTTTCCCAGATAATATCTTTGTTTTATATATGTCTCATGAAACAAATTTCTCTACTTGTGTGCAAGAAATTGTTTATTTATTGACTGGTTCCCTGACAATGGTTAGTGAGCGCCCTAACAGGAAAACCAATGAAGATGTCTCAGGGAAAACTTTCATAACAAGCTTGAATTTCCTAGTGGCAGCGACTGTAATCAAGGGCAGAGAAACAGTGCTAGTGACAATTTGATAACAATTGTTTCTAAAAAATTATTTTATACATAAATGTTTTAGCAGAGACATTTATTTCCCTTGTTACAGGAATATTAATTCGGTCATGATAAAGTAGACTTTGGAGTCATTCATTTTTTCTATGCGAGATCATACACTATGTTAAAAAGAGGTGAGAGGTTTACACTTGACAATCATTCCTATAAAGGGAATACTTGTTTCCATTTTGTCTACTTTGAAATAATATAGATTGCAAGATAGCACAGAAATGGACAATGAAAATACAAGCACAAACTTCTGATGGAGAAAAACGAGATCAAATAAGAGAAATCATAAGACGTATTTACTCAATCCATAAGCCTTACACCAAAATCTTGGGTTGGCAGCTCTGTTCGGACAAGGTGACTGATGAATGAATATTGAAGGTGTAAATTTGTTTTTTAGGAGATAACAACAGAGGTAACAATAGTAAACCAAAAAGATGTGTTTCTTCATTGAAACCCTCATTTAAACAGAAAACACATTACTGTTAATGTCAATAAAACATGTATCATTTAATATAACTCTACATCATCATATAAAATTACCTCTAACAGCTGCGGCGATCTCATCGTAATCTAACTCTGATTGTTTTTCATCACGCATATTGTGGAACTCTTCAAAATAAAGAGCAGAGGCGTAATCGAACACAGAAGGGAGTTGGGCCCCAGGATTCTGCAGGGCTTTCAGTAACTGCTCTGCGTCACAGCTGTCTATGGCTTCGTTAATCAGCTCTACTGCCTTGGCTTCTGTAATTAAATAATACAGGATTAAAACTTTGTTAAAACTTTGTTGAATGGCTCGGAATACCAAATAGTTCTTATAGCGATAGAAATCTCCTTCCTTCATGTGCCATTTTGAAAGTAAAAGAGCATCACATGTATCAATCAAAATTTTATTAAGAATGGAGAGATGGTTTATTTGATACATTGTATATAAGATACTTTGGAGTATGTACTGCTTAAGGATTTACTTTCAATTGGTGTCAGCGATTTTTTTTCTACCCATTGGGAAAGGGTCTGGTACCGGTTCAATTGGGAAAAATAGCATCGAAGTAGAACAAAGGAGAATTTTCTGTCATTTAAACAAATGAAACATATTTTGCATTTATTCCAATCTCATTACCTATTACACCATGTTTTACAGAATAAACAAGAAGTATTTATTGTTTTTAATATCGATGTCCCTTGTTTTCGCATTTTCATGCTTTCTATCTGTCAAAATGTATGACACTATGCTGTCTTCACCACAGGTCATGCCATATTTCGACCTATCTCTACTTTCGATTTAAGTGGAAGTGAAACAATTAGTCAACTTGTACAATGTTTCATATAAAAAGAAATACAATGTCATCGTAGTCTGTTGCTTGGCAGTTGAATTGGGAATTTTTAGTCTCTAAATTGGGAAATATTACCCTGTTTTGGCATTGGGAATGGTACCGTTTATCGGTACCAGTTATATAGATAAAAAAAAACGCTAGGTGTACATTTTACAGTCAAACCTCGTTATCTTAAATTCAATGGGACCAAGAAATACCTTCGATATATCTGTGGATTCAAGATTTCGAGGGTAAAATACTTAAAGAATATGTGGTTGGGACTTTCAGATTACTTTGACATATCCAAGGTATTCAAGATATCGGTGTTCAAGATACCAAAGTTCAATTCTATATAAGATAAGATTCTTTGCAGTATGTACTGTCTGAGGACTTACTTTGGTATTCTTTGTCAGCATCCAAGTTGGCTTTGTTGACAGCCTGTTGGATCTCCTCTTTCTCCAAGGACACTACTTCATCACTGTTATTATTCTGACACAGAAAAAAGGAAGTCACTTTTTTTGGCTTTGAAATGGTACAATAAAATTTGATGAATAATTTAAATTCATATTTGATTCTAAGCACATTTATTTTTAAACTAATTTTAAATTTACAATATGCCCACCTCTTTAAAATCCCTTAGTTCCTCTAATCGCTGTACATAGTAATCTATGTTTTCATCCTGTACAGCTTTAATGGCTAGACTCGGAGCTTTCAGATTCTGAAGAATGAGATTCCGGTCTCCTTTCAGTAAAGCATCTGTCAGTCTCTCCAACCCCACAACAGCTGAAAGGATTGTAAAGATAAACTTTATAAGAAATACTTTCTTTAAAATATTCATCTTTAAAATATTCAAAAGAAATGTTAGCAATATGTACGTATTCTAATTGCTTTAAAAAATTACCAAATTAATAATCTTTATTAACAAATAATACTGAAGATAAATAATGAAAACCAATTAAAGACTGTAGTGTTAAACACAGCATTGTATTCACACTGTTTATTTACACATATGTCTGAGTATCAATTCATTTCTTCACTTGACAGAGTTTAGTTGGTTTGAAGTAGATAAATCAACTGTTTCCCAACGATGGTTTCACAGCTAAGGACTCGCTTCCTTGAGAATCATGTATGTTTAAATATCTATCCCTTTTTTTGGCCAATTGGAAAAAGACTTTTGCTGCCATTATTTTCAGGATATTTATTAAACACCTGTTTAACAGGAACATTTGCCTTGTAATTATTAAAATGACCAGGCAATGACAATGCTGAATTCACTCCAATATAATCCTCTATTTCTTCTGACCTCCTGTTTACTTTCCTCTATTTTGCCCTTGAATTCCAACTAAGGACCCTTTTTTTAAATTTTTTATTTATTATTGTCTTTGTATACATTGCCTCTGATATCTGACTTATTTAGACTGGTTTAATATGAACTTAGTTAATATTGCCTTTGATTTCTGACTTGTACTTTACTATTGATTTTGTTTCATGACCTGGTCTTAAATATTGCCCTGTATTTCTGACTTTATATTGCCCTGTATTTCTGACTTGGACTGACTTACTTTTGACTTTGTTTATATACTGCCCTGTATTTCTGACTAGGACTGGCTATTGACCTTGTTTATACACTGTCCTGTATTTCTGACTTGGACTGACTTACTTTTGACTTTGTTTATATATTGCCCTGTATTTCTGACTTGGACTGGCTATTGACCTTGTTTATATATTGTCCTGTATTTCTGACTTGGACTGACTTGTTATTGACGATGTTTATATATTGTCCTGTATTTCTGACTTGGACTGACTTACTATTGACTTTGTTAATATTGCCCTGTATTTCTGACCTCGACTGACCTACTATTGACTTTGTTTATATTGCCCTGTATTTCTGGCTTGGACTGACTTACTATTGACTTTGTTTATATTGCCCTGTATTTCTGACTTGGACTGACTTACTATTGACTTTGTTTATATTGCCCTGTATTTCCGCCTGAGTTAGTAATTCATCATATACATCATGTTCATATGTCTCAGGGTCCATACTCTGCAAAATGTCAAAATGGAAAACTTAATATGATTTTACAATAGCTGCTTCTGAATTCTCTATCCATTATTTTCAAAAATTAAATAATTTTACTTTCAACTTGATTTTTAAAATTTTAATCAATATGACAAAATTTCAAGTAATTAAAAAGTAAGAGATGTGTGTGTATTTTAGATTTGCCATAAATGCTTGTAGGATTTTAACACAGAAATACACTGAAGACACTTTTCACATCTGAAAAATGTACCTTGTTTCTGGCAATTTCAGCTTTTGACCTTTTGGCCTCATACAAAGTAAGTTGGTAATTTTCAGGAATGTCTTCAGCCAGATTTACCAACATGGCAGAGGGATTTCGAAGGGCCTTCATTGTTTCTTCAGAATCCTCATTGTCTATTGCTTCATTTATAGCAATAATGGCTGCATGCACTAAAAGCAAAGAATGGACAATAAAATAATAATTCTTCACATTCCTAGATTTTAATAAGATTCTTAAGCACATTTTCTCTTAGGGACATATATACTTCACTTACTAAGATTCACACTTTTTGGCATAAACAATGCCTGTTTAGCATAATAATTCATAAAATATTCAAAAAAAGATTTGATTGCTTTGAATAGTTCCAGAACTTTCTATTCTACAATTTTGATTACAATTGTCACCATTTACTTGACACAAACTACTGATTTTGATAAAGAAAAGTGTTCACAGAAGACAAACAGGATTTTAATTTAAAAAATCCCAAAACTTTCACGACACCATGGATGTACACATCCAACATTGTATATATATCATTTTTAAAAGACGGAGTATCTTCACCACAAGTAAGCTATTATTGATTAAAGATACAACAGATTTCTTAGGAGAGGGATTGTTTACTTTTCTTTGTGTACTTAAGTAATTATCCCCCTTCACTTCAAGGAAACAATACAAATTACCCCCCAAAACTTCAGGCTATCTAACAATGTAAGGTTCCCTATTCTATCACCCTAAAGCAAAGGTGTCATTGAAGAGAAAACACCTTATCTTTGACAAACATTTATACGACAGAGATGAGAAGAGTTGTTAAGTGTCATTTATCTAAGCACAACGAAATTCAATTATCAGAGCTTGAATGTCTCACCACCTTTCTACAAAATAGGAGAGTTTGTTTTTCCGTAATTTTTTAATTTGAAATAAAATCCTATCACAAGTGTTCAAAATGATTAAATAATACTGTAACTTATAATAATGATTGTAAATAACTTACAAGCTGCATCATCAACTGACATCTACAAAGTAAAATAAATAAATATAATTATATTAATTAAAAAAATAAAATAACAGGAGAGCTTAAAAGTGTCTTGCTGTAAATTGCCCCCCCCCCCCCCCCCCCAAAAAAAAACAACACAATGAAAACAAGCTGCTGTTATTTTACAAAATATGCTACCTTCACCTTACTCAATAACGCTAAATTTTAGATCACAACAATTCTTCTGTTGCAATCTTCACTTTAATAACAAAGTTCTGACCATGAAAAAAAAAAAGAACAGTTTTTGATTCTTGGAACTTTCTTGGAACCTTGTATAAAGGCCTTGGTTGAGGATCACACCACACCCCATGGTCACCATATGAAGTACTTAGTACAAACTTCTACTCATCCTGTGAAGTTATGACTTAAACATACTGTGACATCATAAATTTTCGTGGGGGTCTAATTGTTGTTGTTTTTGTGGAATGAAGAGACCCATGAATTCATATCCCCCACAAAATGTGAAAATTGCATCTGCTTTATAATGTTCCTCTTTTAATCAAAAAATCAAATTCCTGTAATATTTCCTCAAATCATGAAAATGTGAACCCCAAGAAAATAAGCAACTTTACAGTACACTTTATACTTCCCAACCCTATGACTTTAACTTAAGTTTAGGGCACTTTCTGGTCACCTGAAACTGTTCTGCTAAATATTTACCTTCTAATATTTCTCCACTATAAAGTTAAGATCCAAACAAGAGTACAGTGTATTACACTGGAGAACTGTGACCTTGACCCAGTCCAGATAACCTTGCATCAGATTCAAGACACTTTCTGGTCATAAAAATAACTGTTTACCCTACTGTCACATAGTAAAGTTTCACAGTAATTCATACCTAGTATCTTATCTTGTTACAATCAAATTTAACTGTTTGAATCTACAACTGGTTACCATAATTTTACATGATCAGAATTCACTGTAGTTTATAACTGATTATTCTAAATTCTTGTAATGTGTTTTTTGTGTGTGTGTGTGTGTACTTTATAACTGGTTAGTCTTATTTCACATAATCCAATTTTACTGTAATTTATAAACGGTTACTCTGATATAACATTCTCAAATATAAAATATTCACCCATATTCTCATAATTCCCATTACAAACTTGGCCTAATTTTTTTCTTCAATTTCCTGATAATGCAGCTCATACTTATATTACATAATAACTGCATTCTTTTATTCATGAATCATATATTTTAAAGACAGACACTTACACAGGGCTAGAAATAATTATTTTTGTTTACTGGTCACTCGGGCTATCGCCTTAAATTCCTACTGGTCAGCTTACTGGTAGTACTTTCACTGTCCCACTGGTCTAGTAGATTTTAAAAAGACTGGCCCAAAACAATAATAATAATAGTAATATTTTTTTTATATTGTGATATTTAGAAGTGCAGCTTAACAAAACAAGAAACAGTAGAAGTTGGGACACACAACCCTGTCAAGTTAACTAGCCCTACTGCATGTGAATGAATTTTAATACGCATCAAAAAAATGCTGACCCAAAAGGGCACAATATGCCCTCTGCAATGTACTAGCCCAGATTGAAAATTCACAGGCCCCAGACCAGTGGGCCATCAATTATTTCGAGCCCTGTTACATGCCTATGTCAAATCCTTAAGAGATAAAAAGAAATCTTAGAAATTTTAATGGTGCTGTAAGTAAGTACCGTTAAACTTTGGTATCTCAAAACACAGATATCTTGCATACCATGGATATGTCTAAGTGATTTGGAAGTCTCAACCACTTATTCTTTATGTATTTTACCCTGGATATCTGGAATGCTTGAATTTTTTGCCAATGGCTTCAAGATAAAGAGGTTTGACTGTATTACGAAATCAAAATTTAGGCCTATTTTGAAAGGGAGGGGGTTCCATTGTTACTAGTTCAGTACCTCGTTTGCTAAAATCCCTCCTATTTTACTAAAGGCAGGCATCTGAATTCCATATTTCTCCAGTTCCTGCTTCATAGCACTGATTTCTTCCTCTACAAACAAAAATACTTTTTTTGGTTGAATTCAAACTTTTTTTTAATATCGAACTTATGTTAGAACTAAGAAATGGTTTACAATAAATTTATAATTTAAGGGGTAAAGATATGGATACAGGCTTAATTACTGCAAAAAAGTCCTTTCTGAACTGTATTTATAATCTCTAGAGACAAAAATTGCCAAATACTTATTTTTACCTGTAAATTGGACTTTGCCATACAAGTCCTCAATCTGTGGAGCAATTCCCAGCTTAAAACAATACAGACTGAAAAAAATGATGATCTTTTAATAAGACAGAAAAAGAGATCAAGCATTATTGCATAATATGAAGGTCAGATGCAGTATTAAAATCATCAAATGTCCATAGGGACAAAAGATGTGGATTATTAGTTGTGATATTTAATATAGTTTTTAATTTTCATGCCAGAGGTATAATTTCATGCATTTGGTGAAAAAAAAATTGTTGATATGTAAATTCTTGAAGAGCTACTTCATTCTAATCTATAATTTATTTATAGTGAAATTTGTAGTGCATTGATAACCTTATTTTGTGGTCTTGTTTAACCACAGAACAATGAAATGGACAACACTAGCAAATCAATGAAATTGATTGGATGATTTTAAATTTTTTTTGATTGGTTACCTGAGTGCATGAAGACAGTAGATGACCCTTGGCATATTTTTTCTGTCATACACATCTGTTGTTTCAGGGTAAAAGATCTTAAAACAAACAGAACAATCAATAAACACAAAGGTATTATCAAACACAATGGCTCTATATAGGACAGGTATGATTATAAAGTTCAAAAAGATGTTCACAGCCTAATTGATAATGCTGAACATTTTTCTTGGAAAGCATTATGTTTGTGGGACAGAGTTATCAAATATGTGCATTATAAAAGAGAACCAGATAATTATTTTTATCCGTGACTGTAAACATGAAACATTAAACAGATCTATTTTTTATGGTAATGACACAGTGAAACCTTGTGATAATTTCTCATGTAATATTGGTAATGACACAGTAAATCCTTGTGACCATTTCTCCTCAATAATTTGTTTACATTTAGATGTGGACCAGACCACCCCGACCAGACTAAGCTCCAGCATCACTAGGAGGGAAATTGTGCCTAATTTACCTTAATTTTATACACCAAGTCAGATACAACTTCCAGTTTTTTTATGTTTGACAGAAAGTCTATGGAGACTTTGTTATGCTACCTAAAGTATGCAAGAATGGGCACAAAAATGGAAAGAAAAACCATTCAACTGAAAAATGTCAGAGATTCACAAAAAAGGATCAATAGATCTAAGTACACCTTTCTGGACTGCAATATTTCCTACTATAAATACAGAGAGAATGTGTGAATAATTCATTAGCCCCCTGCACAGCTACACTACTCAGTGTCATTGTTTTGTGCCTCTGAATACATTAAAATTATTTTACAAACCACATCATCAACACAGCACAATAAAGAGATCTGCTAAATCAAGATTATTTCATGTCAGGTTTTGTTGATATGATCAGAGCAAAAGAATGCAAAATGCCCCCCAAAAATATGAACCTAAATTAAATGTTTTTGTGTAAAATCTTTATTGTCATAACTTTTTTTAAAAGTCCTAGTTTTATTAGTATTAAATTGCTTTAGCAAATTCACATTCATATGGAGTCTGGCCAGGCACTAAAATTGACATATACTCGAGAGATTTTTTTAATACATGTATACAAGTGTTTATTGTCTGTTTTTAATTACTATATTTGAAGATATATATAACACAATTATTTATCACTCCACTTATCTTTAATATGAAAAGAATCAGCCCTTTTGCCTTGATTGGACTTCTTTGGATAAATTTTCGATGGTTAAAAATATTTTTGTCAATTTTACTTTTAAAAAGAAATAATTTTAATCAATGTTCTCCATGAAGACTTGAGGCCATCTTTAAAAAACTGTTTGTTTACCCTCTCCCGAAAATTTTTAACCCCCAGGAAACATTTATTTTTTTAATTCATTTCGAAATTTTTTTTTATCCCATTATTAAGTATTTTAACTTCATATTTGTTTTGATTAATAAAAATTCCACAATTCCACTTACCTATCTACCCTTTTTTCTTATCCTGAGTCCTGAGAGGGGAAGCAAACTTTTATAAAAGATGGCCTTTAATGAACTCTACATTACTTTAATGAACTCTTCATATTTAAATACAAGATATACTGAACATGCTGAGGGGCTATTGTTTGTGCCTGTAAAAAAACATAAGTAATGAAAGATTACAAAGTTCACCTTGATAAATGTTATCTTTAAGGCAAATTTAACACCAATTTGTTTTGTTTTTTTTTTGGTAAGTATGCATCCTGAGATCAATATCCATGCAAGTGTGGCTTAAACAGGACTTATAGTTACATTGGAATGGACCTGCTCCAAAAACTCTAACCTGTTCACTCACCCAGAAAATATATGTCAGATCCAGCATCCGAGCAAATCTGGTAGTGTCCTTCCCTAGATGAATCATCCATGCAAGTTTAATCATATCAGGCCATATAGTTACAGAGCTACTCCAAAAACATTACCCTAGTCACTCATATGGAAAATGTACCGGTAGGTCAGATCCAGCATCAAAAGCAAATCTGGTAGTGTCCATCCCTAGATGGATCATCCATGGGGATTTAGCATAAAAAGTTAAAAAGTGTTTATGAGACTTGAACTTGAAAAGGTATTTCAAAGTGTGTAAATAAAGAAGGGAGTGTGTGTGTTGGGGGGGGGGGGGGGAGGGGGGGAGGGGGAGGGGAGAGAGAGAAGTTAAAGTGGACAAGACAAAGGCCCGTGCAAAAATGTAGATCATGTCAATATCCAACTGTAAATCTGCTTCTGGAAGTCTGTGTGTGTAGGTGGACTGACCTGTTCTACTGTAAAATCAGATTTGTCTTTTAATTTCCTTCTTTATTTATTTTTCAACACAAACCTGTGGTAAACCCACTTTCTCCATGGCAACAAACCAGTGATTGATGTTGTCTGTGTGTCGAAAATGCAACCCCCTGGACTGTAAAAGATATTACAAAAACTATACAATAAAAAGTGAGTCATTCTACAAATATGATCTACTATTTCTTACTTTACCTAAACAAGGAAATATAAATTTTGAAAGGCAACGTCAAGGGAAATACTTTGAAGTTTATAAATTATATGCATTTAACTTCTAGCATAAAAAAAGAGAAAACAAATATTTACATATATCCCAGTGTAAATATAGTGTGATGTTTATATATACAAAGGAAAATTTACTACAATCACATTGTAAGACGTATAATGGGATAGCTGTTTACCTGATATCGAGACTGATCTCGATCATAGATCTTTTTAAGGGGCACCACCTGAGGGGCCAGGAAATGACCCAGTTTTGCCAAGTAAACCCCATTTCTCAGCCCTTGTTCTAACTCAGTGGTTTGTGGGAGCTCTTCATTAATGCAGGCCTCTATCCAACTGTAAAAAAAAAAATCAAAATGAAAAGGTCCAAAGTTTTATTTTAAAACATTCACTTCCGTCCTTGGTTCATCTGCAAAAATCTAGGTCATTAAAAGTCAAGTACATCATTAATATTGCTGGTACATGCATTGGCAAAATGTGTGCAACAAATTTGGAACCTTGAATAGCTAAATGTATTCTATGCAATTGTGGGTGAAAAGCTATTGAACATTTAATGTTATTCCAAAAGCTTCATTCAGAAAACTGGAGCACACAAATACATATATATATATATATATATATGGTTTAATTAAACTTAGACCATTGAGTATCACATTTCAATGATCTAATTTTCCTAAATGTCTGCCATGTAGATACAAGACTACCAGCCTACTTTGAGCAGTATGAACATCATTAGCCTAATTTCCCTCCAGGCTTTTTCATGTGACTGCCACAAGCTAGTAAGTTTTATACTACTATTTTATATTCTTGTAATGATTGCATGGATAATACTTCACATTTGTGACAAAAACTTACTATATGTCATTTTAAAAGTATAAAGTCTGAAGCAAAGTGAAACATAGCAGAGTTTGGTCTTCAATTTCTGTTTCAGATGAGAAGTCTACCAATGTTACTGTTTTTCCTCCCCTTCAGTCATAATGATTATCACTGATCCTGTAGCACACAGAAATCAATACAAACTCCAGTCATGACAACCTAACATATACAAATAGGACAAGGTCACACAACTCTAAAATAAAACATCACAAACGAAAGACTCAGGTCTTAAATTCTCATCCAAGAGATCCATGACTTGAACATCCAAAGTATATAGTGAAGGATTACTGACAATTCAGAAACAATTACAGAAAAATATAATTATATATTAGTGTGGTTACTGTGTTCATGAGACAAGCAGACTGAACCACCACCATCAACATTCACTTACAATGTATTACAATGAAGTCAAGGTTATGGTATTAAATTTATCAAGAAATAAAATTCTTCAACAAATTTTAAGCACTGTAATTCTGGTAGCTATTCAATTACAGATTATAATTGTGAATCACCAAACTGCAACAATCTTTTGCATTAATTTTAAATGAGGTTCAATAAAAAAATCTATAATAGAATTGTAAAATATTCAAACCAAAATTAACCTTTATGTATGATACTGCATAGTATAGCACAGATATGAAAAAGTAAATTAATTTTATTGCTTCCTAAAAAGGGTAAAATTGCAAAATTTTCAAAGCAGAAATAATTAACCCTTTTAGTTTATATGATATGTTCCTAACTTTTTCAAAATACAAACAAGATTTTTAAACAATGTTCCAAATTGTTTTCAGTTTTTGAAAGATTTTGTACAAACTCAAAGATACTGTCCCTCTGCAATTTGCTTAATTAATCTTTCAAATAAGTAGCCTTTTAAAAAGATTTTTTGAAGAACTTGAATTTGAACTAGGAAGCAGCACTCATTGGACCTGATGTAATTTCTAACGAAATGGTTCTTGACTGATTTTCAAGGTCATGCAAGCATTAGTCCTTTAAGTTCTGTGTGATGTTAACATGGACTGGTTTTTCACCACACTTCAGTGTCAAATTGCATAAAAATACAGTTTTCCAAAAATAAAAATTGTGAACATTTAGACACTTAAAGTAAGTACTGATTAATTTGGATAGTTGTAAGACATTGGCCATCTATTAATGGACTACTTATAGCAATGGTCTAGCTCTTTGAATGTGAGTCACCCAGTCACATTTTACCAAACTATGCCTTAACAAGCATTAAACATTAACAAACTTGTCACTGTGTTAGAGACACCTTGTAAAACTTCACATTTACTAATTCCAAGGTGATCCCTACATTAATTACAAGATAATTACTTTTGGTGGCATTGTTTTTATCAATTTTGTCCTTATACGTCAAGGTACACTGGTGTTTACTGTCACCAAGGTTACAATACGGATAATGTAAAATATCCAATGAAATGTTTGATCTGGGAATTGATCAACAAAACTTTTTTGAATGCTGTACAACTGCCTACAATAAAATTATGTTGATGTTCTGTTGTTCTTTATACAATGCTTATGTCTATGCAAATCAAAAAAAGTTCCAAAATCATTATATTTATCGAGTATATTGAGTCATTATAAAACAAACTCCTAACAACTTCAGACATTTTTCTTTTTCATCTTGGTGGAAAACAGGTACTTTAGGATCTGCTTTAACCTTGGAATAGGAAATAGTCAAGGTCATGGGTAATTATTTTCAATCAGCATGATCAGAGAAGTTAAGGACCATAAACTGATCAATAAAAAAATTCAGAAGTTAAAATTTGTTTATGATATACTGATTGGACATTGGCTCAGGGTCACCTAGACCTACTTGTACTAAGATTCATCAGTAAAATTTAAAGAAATGTAAATCTTGAATGTTGGTCAGCAGAGAATAATTCAAAATCAATGTTCACTTCTGATTCATTTATCTGAGTAAAACTGTGGTTCCTTGAAACAAAAATAGAAATGTACTAGCTCAGTTGACCAACAGATGGATGTTTACTGTGTTTGAAAAGAAAGGACAGCAGACTTGGATATATGAAATATAAATGTAAATTAAATATTGCAGAGTTTAGCAAAATTAAAAAAGCTATTTCGTAAGAGATAATTAAGGATGAGTTTTCATCAATAACACAGTCCCTGCAGCAGTGTACTGTATGCATGGCTTACCTAAATCAATACAAGAACACAGCAGATTGCATTCTGACAAATATCTGGCCCAGTAATGCCACAACACAATTTCAGCTTTTATAGGAAAACTCAGGTGTATGGATGATAGAACTGTATCAACTTATTGAAATCTTGGCCTTACAAACACATCTAAGATTGGAATTCCACTTTCTATTGTGTAAAAGTCACCCCTTGTACCTACTCTTTCATTAGAAAGATACAACATTTTGACACGTGTATTAAATACGTTCTACAGCTGTTCTACACCTGTAATTAACACGCTGAATTTCTACCTGTTGACCCGGGAGGTCACCATTTACATTACATCTTGTTAACTACAGAGGTTTCCGTCTCAGGTTTTAAACATGCTTTACAAACTCCCACCACTCACCACACACAATCATTCAGAAAAAAACCCTATGCAGTCTGTGTGTCTTCAAACAAAACATCTCTAGGAAATCATGATGCAGGCAATGATGCAATTTATACATACTCCAAAACCCCAATAAATTCCATATTGAAACAAGAGGCCCAAGGGCCTTAATGGTCACCTGAGTATAATACAACAATTTAGAAGTTAAATACACTGATAGATGAAGCTTTGTTGCCCTAGAGCAAGAGAAGTAGGAAGATCAGGATCTACAAAATAATTAGTCTAGTATTCAGTATCAACTCATAAATTAAGTTCAATCTGTCTCCCACTTAACACTATCACCATGCAGACTATTAACAAACTATTAGTGCTTCTGTACTATTTTTAAACCCATATTAAAACCTCTAGCATTGACCTCTCTTATGGTCTTTGAAGAACTTTTAATAAGATAAGTTATTTTTGTCTCTTTTTTATTTATCTATTACTTACAGGTCTACCTGATTATTAAAACTAAGAAAGTACTTTTTGAATTATACAATAAACATTCTTGCATAATTATCTTATTCTATTAACCTTTCAAATACATTATTTACAGTGATTAATTATCAAAGGTGAATGGAAAAGGGGTATAACTACTCTCAGTAGAATACAAATTAATAGAGCCCTGCCCAGGACCAGAATGCTTAGACAAATGGTCCAGATGTTCAAAAATCTGGTAGGAATACGCTTACTTATATCATTTAAACTTTTACTCAGTTTGCTTCCGATATGCCCAGAAGCAGAGAAGAATTTCACAGGTACAATGCATTTTCACTACAGATTCAACAAAGCCTTACCCTAACACCAGAACCCAAGACCAAGGGTCAAGAAATTTACAAATTTGGAAGAGTTACCCTCATCATCATAACTATGGATTCTAAAGAATTAAAACTTTTCTACTATATTATCAAAAGCCCCCCCCCCCCCCCCCCCCCCCCCCCGTTATGCCAGAACCCCCTGACCCTAGGACCACAAGATTTAAAAATTCTGTTCGAAGCTCCCATTTTCATCATAGCTAAGCAATTTATTTATCAGCTCAACACTAAGGAGCAGACAGGATTAATCAATGATTAATTAATAGAATTAATGATTTTTCAGTATATAATCAATAGAGCCCCACCCTAACACCAGAACCCCTGACCCTGGGGCCATGAAATTCACAATTTTGGAAGAGGCACTCTTGCTCATCATAACTATGTACTTAGTTACTTTATTTAATATCCAGGAGCAGAGAAGAAGATTTTCAAAGAATTAATGCTTTTTCACTATATAATCAATAGAGCCTCGCCCTTACACCAGAACCCCTGACCCTGGGGCCATGAATTTCACAATTTTGGAAGAGGCACTCTTGCTCATCATAACTATGTACTTAGTTACTTTATTTAATACCCAGGAGCAGAGAAGAAGATTTTCAAAGAATTAATGCTTTTTCACTATATAATCAATAGAGCCCCGCCCTAACACCAGAACCCCTGACCCTGGGGCCATGAATTTCACAATTTTGGAAGAGGCACTCTTGCTCTTCATAACTATGTACTTAGTTACTTTATTCAATACCCAGGAGCAGAGAAGAAGATTTTCAAAGAAATAATGCACTTTCACTATATGATCTATATAGCCCCACCCTGGGGCCAGAACCCCTGACCCTGGGGCCATGAATTTCACAATTTTGGTAGAGGGCTCAATGCTTATTACAATGATGCCAACAGTTTGACTGCTTAATGTACAGGAGTAAAGAAGAAGATTTTTAAAGATTGCATTATTTTTGGTGGTTTTAGCCCCACCCCTCAGGCCCCAGGGGGGCAGGGACCATGAAATTCACAATTTTTGTTCCCCTTCACCCATAGATGCTATATGCCAAATTTGGTTGAAATTG